ACCAGCTGGCATTTCTCTTCTCTTCTTCTCGTCGACAGAGTATTTTTACCTGAGATTCCCCTATCATCCTCTGTCTTCGACTTTTCTTTTTTTTCCCTCCCCCCCCCCGCCCTCCAGTAACTTTCCCACCGCGTTTGTTGTGCACCGTACCCCGCCATGGCTGCCCCGCAAGAACTTGTCCCCCAGACCGAAACCATCGCGGAGGTCTACGCAACCGACGACGCCTCGACCACTTCGGTCGCTCCGGAACACCAGACTCGTTTCAATGCGCTGGTTTCCAAATTCACCAAGCTATACTCTCATCGCCCAGATTTTATCGCTCGCAGTCCCGGTCGCGTCAACATCATTGGTGAGCACATCGACTACAACCTGTACGATGTGCTTCCGACTGCCGTCAGTGTCGATGTGATCATCGCCGTGAAGGTGGTCCCTGCTACTGGCTCAGAGACTGTGGTCAAGATTTCCAATGTTAACCCGGAGAAATTCCCCACGCGCGAGTTTACCGTGCCCCGCGACACAGACGTCGAGATCGACCCCAAGAAGCATGACTGGGTCAATTACTTCAAGGCCGGTCTGTTGGGCGCCCTGAAGTTCTTGCGCCAACGGAACGCCGACGGCTCGTTCGCGCCGGCTAGCATGGAGGTTTTGCTCGACGGAAACGTGCCCCCTGGTGGTGGCATTTCCAGCAGTGCCGCCTTCGTGTGCGCCAGTGCTCTCGCTGTGATGAAGGCCAACGATCACGATGTATCCAAGCAGGACTTGCTCGATCTGGCCGTTGTTTCTGAGCGCGCGGTCGGTGTTTACTCCGGAGGGTATGTTTTGTCTTTATGATCCGCCCCGCTTCCATCCTGACCTTTTACAGCATGGACCAGGCGGCCTCCATCTTCTCCCGTCGCGGATACTTGCTTTACACCCAGTTCTACCCCAACTTCTCGGTCCAGCACGTGCCCATCCCTAAGGCGACCGAAGAAATAACCTTCCTCATGGCGCAGAGCTTCGTCACCTCCAACAAGGCGGAGACCGCTCCCCGCCACTACAACCTCCGTGTTGCGGAATGCACTCTCGCCTCGGTGGTGCTGGCTGCCCGCCACGGCCTGACCCTGCCCAAGGACAACAGCTCGCTCGGGTACAGTCTCCGCAACTTCCACAACGAGCTGATGCGCAAGGAAGGTCGCTTGGGCGACCCCTTAGAGTACCAGATTGACTCCGTGATCCAGAGCGTTCGGGAGATCTTGACTCAGGAGGCCGGATACACGCGGGAGGAGATTGCCGGTCTGCTGGGCATCACGGTGCCGGAATTGGAGTCCAAGTATCTGTCCTCGTTCCCCGTCCAGGCCGAGCGCTTCCTCCTGCGGCAGCGCGCCCTGCACTGTTTCACCGAGGCTCGTCGGGTGCTGGACTTCAAGGCCTGTCTCGCCAAGGCCCACACTTTGGACGAGCGTCGCATTCAGTACTTGGGCCAGCTGTTGAACGAGTCCCAGGTCTCCTGCCGTGACCAGTATGAGTGCAGCGCCCCGGAGGTGGACGACATCTGCACCATTGCGCGTCGTGCGGGAACCCTAGGCAGCCGGCTGACGGGTGCTGGCTGGGGCGGTTGCACGGTGCACATGCTGCCGCAGTCCAAGGTCGAGGCCGTCACCAAGGCTCTGAAGGAGGAGTACTACCTGAAGCATTTCCCGGACATCAGCGAGGAGAAGTTGGCGCAGGCGATGGTGATCAGCAAGCCGTCGAACGGATCGTTCTTGTATGTTCCCTCTCTCTGAGTGCCATGGTTACATATGCTAATTTGTTCTAGGGTGACGGGCGCAGCTATTGCGGAGGTTGAGGTTTAGGGGGTTATATTTTGCAGCGTGCAGCGTGGTACTATCTAGCGATGATGTAATATAGCTCAGTGCTGAGTATGAGTAATTTTGGTTCAGTTGGAATGACTTAAGTTCACTTGACGTCCCTCGGCCTGTGTTATAGCAATTTGATGTTTGAATAGCAAGAATAGTCAGAAGTATAAACTGGGTTGCCCTGCTATGATGTCATACGTCTGACTTATGCAGTGCATAACTATCAGCAATCAAAAACAAACCACCCAAACACTGCGAAAACAAACAAAACAAACAAGCTACCCCAAGATTAGCGTATCAGCCAACCGATCCTCCCTCCCCTTTACTGTACTCTGTACCGAGTAGTTATCTCCATACCCCCAAGAACAACAAAAATGTCATGAACCAACAACTATGCCCAACCCTTCATCATCACCATCATTCTCCCTCTCCAAACTAGCCACCCCGGCCGTCGCCACCCTCATAAGCTTTCTGGCCTATAGCTCGCAGTACCTCCTGCACCACTTCGAGCCCGCCCCGCTGCGCCGCCCCGAATGCTGGCGGCTGAACCTGCTGGCCGGATGTATCTGGATCTGCTACTACCGGACCTGCACTGTAGACCCGGGTCGGGTGCCGAGGGAATGGAAGCAGCAGGCTGCTGTTTTCTCGGCAGATCGTAAGCAGCAGCAGCAGCAGCAGCCGCCGCCGCGCAAATCCCAGCCCGATGGAGCTATCAGTAATGGCGGCGGCCGATGGTGCCGCAAATGCGAGGCGTATAAGCCGCCGCGGGCGCATCATTGTCGGACGTGTCAGAGGTAGGGACCTTTCCCCGGCCAGCCTTTTCCTAAGAATTATCACGCCAGGTTGATGGGGGATTGCAGTGGGTTGTGATACATTCCTTAACTCCCCATGTTTGATGGCCACTCGCTAACCGGTGGATGCTATCCTGGGGCAACAGATGCGTCCCAAAAATGGACCACCACTGCCCGTGGACGGCCAACTGCGTCTCGCACTTCACGCTGCCGCACTTCGTGCGGTTCCTGTTCTACGCGGTCGCGGGGATGGGGTACCTAGAGGCCGTGCTGGTGGAGCGCGCGGGGCTGGTGTGGCGCGCGAGGGATCGGCCTAGTGTTCGTTGTCCCTCATCTTCCAGCTACCAGCAGAGCACAATGCCCTAGGCAAGAATCGTAACTAACTCTGCAACGTTGCGGGTGGGACAGTATCTAGGCCCCACCGCCCTCCAGCTGGCGCACCTCTTCGTGTTGCTGGTTGTCAACAGCCTGACGGTATTTATGCTGTTCATCCTGCTGGTGCGCACGGCGTGGGCCCTCGCCCTGAACACCACTACCATCGAAGAGTGGGAGATTGAACGCCACCAGACGCTGCTGCGGCGCGCGCGGCATTTCGGCGGGTATCTGCAGGGGCCCGGGGGCGTGCGGGTGCGCATCAAGCGCCAGGAGTTTCCGTATGATGTCGGGGTGTGGGGGAATTTGAAGCAGGGGATGGGGTCTGGGAATGTATGTTCTTTTCTTTTCGGAGAGTGTAGATCTGGGGGTGGTTGGTGGTAGTTTGATGCTAATCATATGGTGGATGGCGCAGATCCTAAGCTGGTTCTGGCCGCTAGCGAGAACCCTCGATCGGAGCTCGGGGCTGGAGTTCGAGGTTAATGGGTTTGAAGGTGCGTTCGCCATCCCGCTCTTTGTCTGTCCAGATTCGGCCAGAAACACACCACTCGATCATAGTAAATGGTGCTAATCGAACACAGATCCAAACACAACCTGGCCCCCGCCCGACCCAGACCGCATCCCCTGGACTGCCCCCGCAGCGACAGCTCCAGCAACCGGTATCCTGGCCGCCTCATCAGGAAGAGGAACCCCGCAGAAGATCCTCCGCCGCAAGCGCTTCCACCAACGATTTACCAAGGAAGAGTCACCCAGCGACTCTGACGCCAGCAACAGCGGTAGCGAGCCCGAAGACGCAGTTTCGGACGACGGGGAGGAAGGCTGGCGCAATGCCGACGGGGACCGGCTCAGGGACTTTGGAGTCGAGGAGGAGGTCGAGTTCTACGATGAGGAGGATATTCCGCTGGCGGTTCTGATGGCGCAGAGGGGATATCATTCGTGAATCGAAGTCGGGGTGGGGATGGGGATGAATCGCGGGACTGTGTTGTGCTGGGTTGGGGTTGGGAATGGGGATGGTCATACATCACTGAATGAGGGATCGTATGTACAGTACATACAGTAGGAATAGAGACCGGGTCTCCTGGGAAATTGGGGTTTATGCTGGTGTCAAGTAGGTTACTGAATTTGGATCTGGAGGTATCCAGGGTAAAATTAGTGTCTCCGGGGTCAACCGACGGGAGGCAAATCACACTGCCTGGGGGCTCTAGTAGTCTAACTCGGAGAATGTGTTTGGACGGTAGCTAGGTAGCGATAAGTTCAGGCTACAGCTCGGACCTTGACCGCCGAGCAGACTGCGTACACTTGTTCACTATACAAATCACCTTTACGGTGTCCGGAGTACAGTATCTCTTGAAGCATCGAGATTATAAGGAAAGTCTAATGGAATCGCCCCAGACCGAGCACTGTCACAGAGATCATGCTTCCAGTCCAGGGCGTCAACCATTATCTGTGTTTTCAAATTGCTGCTATATCACATACCACGTGCGCAGCTGAAAGGACAAGAGATCGCCTGTAGCGTGTACTCTGGAGGGCTACTTACTGTACATGGCTGGCTTGAGTTTCCACCGTCCTGAGGTTATATTTCCACTACACTTTAACCACCACAAATCCTTATATTATGAATTCAGCATGAAAACAAGACTCGAATTGAGAGGCATTCTCTTTCCCCCACCCAAAGCAGAATGAACCCCCTTCCCTCACCAAAACATACCAGCCCGTCTCAGCTCCGCTCCGCAATGCTACACCTCAAACCCCCCACGCAAGGGATACCCTTGAAGCAAAACCCCCCTCACAGCAAACCAGCACAATGGCACGATAGCACAATAGCACAATAGCACTAATAAGCCTCGCGTATGCATGAGCGCGTACCTACATCCAACACGCGCATCTCGATCCAGACCGCGCACGCATCCCCCCAGCGACATCCCTCGTTCCCTCCCTCCCTTCCGTAACCCAGAACCCTAACCTCCCTCCCCTAGAATTCCTCAAATACCTTAACCCAGCGCCGCTGCGCCCACATCTAATCCTCCAACAATCTCTCCTAAACACATTGCACAAAAATCACGCCATCCAATCCTTCCAACAATCGATCGATCTTCACATCCACCATCCACCATCCACAAACCCCCCCACCCAGCAACCTTCAAAATGCACCTCCCGACCCTCCTCCTCACCACCCTAACCGCCGCCCTCGGCGCCGCCGACCTGATCGAATACTGCCCCTTCGCGCAGGACAAGACGGGCATGCTGCAGCACCCCTACTGCTGCGACAGCTACACGCCGTCGGCGGTGACCGAACTGGCGGAGGAGGGGAAGAACTGTACGTTCCCGCCCTGACACTCTTGCAGCAATCAAGTGATGTGATGCTGTGAATAATGGAGAAAGAGGATAGCTGATGTGATGCGATGGTGCAGGCCAACAAGTCACCGAGCCGGTGGCTAAGTGTCCTAATGGTTTGGGGGTGAAGTGTTGTTATACTATTGTAAGTTTACTTTTCTTCGGTTATTGGGTGTTGAAATAAGGTGGAGAGGGGGGCTGAGGGGGGGGGGTTGCAACAAAAACAGACGATGCTAATTCTCCCGGGTTGGGGGGCGCATTAGAACCAGATTTTTATCTGTACGGCGGATGCGATCTTGGAGGATGATTAGATGGGTTAGGTTTGTTTCGGAGTATACGTGGGGATGGAGTGGTTGGAAATGGGGGTCTGAGGAGTTGTGATGAATACAGTCGGATATGGGTTTGAGCTTGGGGCATCGAGAGGATATGTTGTCGTGCGGTTGTCAAAAGTTACGTTTGAGGAGGATGTTGTTGGGTTGGAGGATTCTACCAGGTAAGAACTTCAGTGAGGGTTCAGGTTTGGTATGAGTTCGGGGTAGAACTGCCCTCCTCCCCTGGCCAGTTGAAATAGTCTGCTGCTCAGTGAAATGAATGACGTTCATATTGCTGGGAATTCATCAACCCTTACATAGCAAAATTCATCGAAGCAGTCGACCTTGTGCAGACACTCTTTACAATGGAATAGAATACTTATTCAAAGTATGTTTTTAACATGTTTGATCTTCAATCCCTAAGTGAGGTTGTTGGCAAGTTGTGGTTGAGATGGCCAGGGAGGGTAACTGCATCTGGGTGGTTGGTCGGGAACATCATGCTGTTAGCATCCATTGGGATAAATTCAACAAATCACTTCTAACGCTCGAATGATTGATCACGTAGGGCTAATGTACCTGACAGTAACGTAAGAGTGACTGTGTTGGATAATTATCGAGATGGGTGTACAGTACGTCATCGGGATGTCATCCCCACCAACCCTCAATCAACAATACTTATACCGCGCAGCGCTTCCAACCCTCTACGCAAGACCCATTTTCCAATTGTCTACAACCTCCAACCAATAGCACCACTACAAACACAAAATGCCCACCAAAAAAGTCCTCATCGTCCTCAGCGACGCCAACTCCTTCCCTCTAAAGAAGACCTCCGGGCCCGACGCCGGCAAAACCATCGACCAGCCCTCAGGCTTCTTCCTGATGGAGCTCGCCAAGCCCCTCCAAAAGATCCTCGACGCCGGCCACGAGGTCACCTTCGCCTCGCCCAAGGGCGCGGAGCCCGTCCCGGACCCCAACAGCGAGTCCCTGCTGGCCTTCGCAGGCAATTTCTACGAGCGCCGGCGCGAGAACGAGCTGATCGAGCGCATGAAGCGCGAGAACGGGTTCAGCCGGCCGCGCCCTTTCGCCAGCATCAGCGACGAGGAGCTGGCCTCGTTCGCCGGCGTGTTCATCCCCGGCGGCCACGCGCCGCTGGCCGACCTCGGCGACAACCCGGACCTCGGCCGGATTCTGCGCTACTTCCACAAAGAGAACAAGCCGACGGCGGTGATCTGCCACGGGCCGTATGCGTTGCTGAGCACCAAGTTTGCCGGGGACGGGGATTTCGTGTACAAGGGGTATCATATCACGTCGTGGAGTGATGTGGAGGAGAAGGCGATGGAGACGTTGCTCGGCGGGGAGGTCGAGAAGGTCGAGTCCCGGTTGAAGGAGGAAGGCGCGGTTATGGAGACGGGGCTGTCGGAGAAGGCCGGGTATACCACCCTCCATCGCGAGTTGGTGTCGGGGGGCAATCCCATGGCGGCGAATGAGCTGGGGGAGCGGTTCTTGAAGATGCTGAGTGTTTGAGGTTGGTATGTGTTATGTGGTTGAAGCTGTACCTAGTAATAATAGTGTAATGAGGATATGACGATACATGAATCTTTCTGCGTGTGAGAAGTGTTAATATGAGGGCGAGTGTAGTAGAATAATCTCATGTAAGAAGCGTGTTTCATGGGTCTAGTAAGGCTTGAATCTATCTTTGTTCTTGATTCGTTTCTCCTTCTGTCGCGTTCCCTTGGCCGAGCCGTCCGCTTGCGTTGTCGAATCGCCATCCTCCGGCTTCCAGACACGGACACACCCGTCCTCACCGCAGGTCAAAACAGATTGAGACTAGACACGGCGTTAGCTGACGCAATGGAGTGTCGTGGGACGACCACCTACTTGCTCATCCACATAGACCGACCGAATAACCTCTTCACCATGAGCGCCTGGAAGACGCCACGAATTGTTCTGATCGAATTGCCACGATGGGGAGGACACAAGTGGGACCAGGTCCAATCGTTGCTCGCTATTCAAGTCAGCTCAGACCACTTGCACGTGTCGGGAGAGTGGGCATGCATACAGCTTGTTGCCTGCGGCGATGTACTGGCCTTGGCTGTTCTGGCACAGTTGCACAATGTACTCGCAACTGAGCGGTTGTCGCAAGTCGTTGAACTGTATGGGCTCAGCGCCCTCCGAGGCCTGGTCATCCGGATCTGTCGTCGGATGGATGGCAAAGTCTTCATCATGACTCAGGGCATAGACGGTCTTCTCGTCCAGGAACCCGGCATGGTGCACGGAGCCGTGGTTGATGACTTGCACCAGCGCTTCATCCTCATCAGTGATGGTGGTATCGTAGATGTTCACCAGCCCGTCCGTACTGCCGGAGAGTGCGATATGGCTACGGGTGGGGTGATATTGGAGCTGTCGTGCGATTTAGCAGGTGAAAACGAAGGAGGAGTGTTAAGGTCCAGCGTAGGAGCCCACTAACCTCGGTCACATCATCGTTGTGACTCTCAACATATTCCAGTCGAGGTTGATTCGCTGATCGGATGTCCCTGTTAATGTTAGTGTGCTGCGAACACAGCCTAATGATGCAATCTGCAGATGTCTTCCCAGACATACTCTCCGATGCTTGGCGCACTTACCAAAAAGCAACCACAGCCTGTTGTCCGTAATTAGACGAAACCAGCTCGGTTCCTGCAGCAATGTCATGGGTTTGCGGAGAGCATGCAATTGAGAGTACGGGAGCCTGGATTGCTATCGCAACGACGACAAGGGTAAGCGAACACTTGCAACATACAAACAACACTTATTTTCCCAGCAGTACTCATTACACCGAATGAGCCAGACAGCTTGTGGGTTCTCAAGTCTAACACAAGAGTGTTTCTCCCACCCCATATGACATCAGGCTGAAAAAGAAGGAAAGCGACCACCGTAGATACATAAGAGGAAAAACAACTTACAGGTTTGCATTTCTACGGCGGGCTTCTTCCCACTGCGCAAATCCCAAACCTTGACCTTGCCATCTCGTCCCGCGGTGGCCAGGAGCTGCTGGCCCGCATCGTAGGTTCTTAGCGAGGTCACCACCTCGTGGGCACTTGGAGTGACTATGGATGCATGGCTGAGGCCATCCGCACTGAAAACCCGCAGCGAGTCGTCCGACGAGATTACGGCAAATGTCCCGGGACCTGCTGCGGCAATGGAGTAGATGTAGTGGCCTTCAGCCAGAGAAAGTGACGATGACGCCGTCGCTTGGAGCGTGTGCATGGTTAGACAGACAATCTAAGCAGTGCTTCTATACTTCGTGGAGTAGATAATTTGCGATGGATCTGAAATCTTCCGGTCCGTCATGGAAGGCGGTGGGAAATTGGAGGCGGAGAGAGTGGTCCGTGTTTGCACTGTTTGTGTGGATGTGCTCCTTGCAGCTTCATCGAGATTGATTCCTTTCTTCGAAATGCCGCTGAAGAAGAGCTTCAGGAAATGTAGCTATGTTCGACTCATTTTCAAGTGTCTTGCAGAGACTTAAGCAGTTATCCAGATGAATCTGTTTTGTTGACACCATGGCTCTATAGTGGCAGCCAGACTGATCATGTGACTGCACCATGGCGCGTATATCACGTGATCATACGGTGACTGTTAGGCTCTTCTCACGTTAGTGGATAAACTCTCTAAGTTATGATTTATCCAACAGTCCACGACCGACAGCTTCAATGCAGCTTAGCTGAGCTTGGAGAAGGGATAAATCATCTAACGCCGAGCTGTGTGATCCACTGTAGATGTAGAAGCGGGGAAGCCCGGCTGCCTTGATCCCCAGGCCAAAAGACCAAATCCCACTGAACCTAACCGGTGAATGCTGCTTCACGATCATTCACATTTGGCGCTAAGGTTGCTACATCCTACATGACTGCAGTGCTGGCGAGAGGATTATTCTTGTCACACCTTTGGCAGTTGATCTCTAAGCGCCCAGGCCCAATAGCGCCCGCATTTCTCCTCTTCTAGCCTCCGATCCGGGCGCTACCAACATCCCGCCTCCACGAATGACATCCCAGAACGCCATCTTTAACCTGGCCAACGTGATGCCTCTTGCAGGCCCGTGTCTTGGTCCGAATCATAGACCAATCCCAAGCTCCCATTCACTGTGTCTCTCCGCCTCTCGGGTGCAACGCATGGCCTCCGCCTGCCCAGTCTACCTGAACAGTGACCCTGGATGGTCGTCGCTGCGGGCATTATCACATCGTGCTCGGCGATTTGACTCGTCAGACTGGACCTGCAGTCCCCGCCATCCTCACCATGCAAGCGCCATCGCAGGAACTGCCCATGCCCGCAGTCTGGCACTCAAAAACTCCCGCCAACCCTCCTGATTCACGGTGGCTTGGGTTTCAATGATAATCATTCCTGCCCCTGAACTGAACTGCTTCCTTCAGTCGCTGGGTCTGAAACCTTCGGAAAAGCTGCTGGCAAGCTTTGACTGGAGCGTATAGATCTCTTGGTCTGCATTCAGTTGCCGCTTTGCTCACTTCTCCTCCTTTTTGCCCTTGGCGCCCCTCACGGCTCGCAGCTTCAACCTAGACAACATGAAGGCCTTGGAGATATCGATATCGCAGTGTATCGCAGCGCTCACGCTGCTCTCACTCAGTCTGGTGAACGCCCACAGTATCATCACCTACCCAGGCTATCGCGGCAACAACCTGCACACCAACGGCACGGTTCAGCAGACCAACGGATTGGGTGTTGGATGGGAGAACGGCTCATACGTCTATCCCTATGGGATGCAATGGATGTACCCCTGTATGTTTGACAGCCTGCTATTCTTTGCTCGAGCATCCTCATCGCTAATAATGACTGCTCAGGTGGTGGGATGCCCACGTCGACGAACCGCACCAAATGGCCCGTCAACGGGGGCACGATCGCCCTCCAGCCCGGCTGGTTCCAGGGTCACTCGACGGCCTTCATGTATATCAACATGGGTCTGGGGACCGTCCCTGACAACATGAGTCTTCCGATGGTCCCCGTCTTCGAGATCACGGGCCCCAGCAACAACCCGTACCCGGGCACGATCTGTCTGCCGCAGGTGCCCTTGCCAGCCGATATCAGCCCCAAGGTGGGCGACAACGCCACCATCCAGATTGTCGAGGTGGCCAAACACGGTGCATCTCTATACGACGTGAGTATTCTCCGCCCTGAATTGTCTTCGATCCACCCGCTGATCGTTCGATCTTCTAGTGTGTGGATATCACCTTCGCCGACGACGACGATGTCGCCGAGGTGACCAAGGACAACTGCTTCAACTCGTCGGACATCGGATTCAAATACGTCTTCGCCTCGAGCTCATTAACGGCCACTAGCGTCGCCCCACTGCATGGCCCTAGCCAGGCGCCAATCGTCTCGGTTTTGCTGGCGATGGCCCTGGGAGCATGGGTCTTATAATGAATTGAGACCTGTTAGCATTTGTTCGTGCGGTGTTCACTAATTTTGTCATACCCTCAGCCGCGGTTGGCTCACTTGTCGATTTTGGAATGTTGATTACATGAATGCATTTGCCTGCCATTTTGGCGTTGACGACAATTATAATATGACCCCGTGTACATCCTTGTCAGCTGTACCACTCAGACCATTGAAGATTGTCAGTAGACGATGTCATGTATCGCCTACCAGTCGTAAGTCTTAACAATTGGCGTACAAAGGTGTAGCGAAGCCATCGAGCCACCAAACGACGCGATCTCATGAAGTCAGCTCAGAACCGATATGCTTTCCGCGGTTGACCGGACCAACACCGGAGGCTGTTCTGAAGCGTCACGCTTAGCAGACGATGATCAAAGTGGCAAACAACAAACATGCTGAATCTATGTCTATGTGCATTAGTTATTGTCGAATGGTAACGCTCCCAAAGTAAGCTTTCCTAGGACACCCCACACCCTCCTCATTGCCTCAGGCATGCTATGCCGATAAGATGGATTAACGACCCCGGTGTCCGATATCCCGAAAATCGACCGCCTTGCTTTGCGACCAGCGGGGCACGTGCCTAGCTTTTTTTTTTCTCTCAGCTCGCTTAACCGGGCCGGTTCAGCCACTTGAACTCCGGTGGGGCAGTTGAACCAACCGGCCCGTCCACCGGCGGAGTTTCTTATCGAGCTGACTTTATCAGCTTATCGCCGGCCGATCCATACATTCTATACAGATTGGGGATTGCCTCCCATGCATTAACACATCAAGCACTTTTTGAGACATCCATGTTGGATCATTGCACTCAGGGGGAGGAAAGAGGGGGGTTTTCATCAAAAGATTGAGAAAGGATTCATTGGACCTGATCCGATTTCATGGTTCTTGGAATCGCCACCGGTTTATGACATAAGTTTGACCAAGTTGAGCAATCTTCTCCCTAAATTGGAAATAAAATGCCCCGGGATGCGGGTTGACATCACGAGGCGATCACGAGGGGGCAATTGTAGATGTGCAGTCCATCCACATAACTCAATAATGGGAGTGGTCATGTGTCCAGCTGCCGCCCCCTAGACTGCCTATGAATAATAAGAAAAGGGTACCACCGGCATTGAGTTTGCAGCTGCAAGCAGCTGCAGCTAAGCTGCCACTTCATAGATTTTGGTCGATATAGTAATGTTGGAAGAAGTAATGCGGCGACCGGCAAGGAGGACCGCCCGGTTTCCACCGGCTACTGGAGCGGATTCCCCTTCCCCTTCCCCCTTCCCTTTTCTTTATCTGTACTATCTATACAAGACTGTAGGACGACAAAGAATTAAATTCTTCTTCTCAGGTACAACTTCTTCTCTTTCTCTCTCTAGACTATTTTACACACTAGACATTATCCGTCTCTTCCTCTTATACATCCTCATTCATCGTCCGTCCTCTTACTAGACCATACACTACCACACCACCCATACTATCGATAACAGTCACCATGAAGGCCGCTCGCCGCCCAATGCGGGCGCTCGCCAGCGCCCCCGGCCGCCGCTATGTCAGCCGGACCAGCAACGCGAAGTCGTCCGTCGCCGTCTCGCCCGCCTCGTCCACCACTACCCTGCAACACCAGGTCTCCGCCTCGCTGCAGAGCACCGTCTCCTCCACGCCGCTGGCCAAGCTGCCCCTCTCGACCGTCCTCCGCTCGCTCGTCATCCTCTCCGTCTCCTCGTCGTCGCTGCTCCTGAAACCATGCATCTTCGCCCTGTCGACGCTGGCGCACCCCAAGTCCGCCCTGCTGGACGTGGCCCGCAACCCGCTCCTCAACGCCGTCGTCAAGCACACCATCTACAAGCAGTTCAACGCCGGCGAGAACAAGGTCGAGGTGCAGCGCTCCATCCGCGACATCAAGTCGCTGGGCTACCGGGGCGTGCTGCTGGGCTACGCGCGCGAGGTCCTGGTCGGCGAGGGCCAGGTCGACCCGTTCGATGAGCAGCTCGCCCGCGAGGAGATCCAGACCTGGCTGGACGGCACCCTGAAGACGGTGGACATGGCGCAGGAGGGTGATTTCGTGGCTCTTAAGTAAGCTCCCTAAAAAGACCCTAAGCAACCCCACGAAAGCTAATTCCTAGAAAGATGGACCGGAATGGGCCACCAAGTCCTCCATTACCTGCAGAACAAATCCGACCCCTCGGAGCTAATGGACAAGGCGATCAAGCAGGTGTGCGACCTGGCGATCGCGCGCAACGCGCGCCTGCTCGTCGACGCCGAGGAGCAGGCCGTGCAGCACGGGATCGAGAACTGGGCGCTGCGGTACCAGAAGTACTGCAACGCGCGCACGCCGGGCAAGGCCATCTTCTTCAACACCTACCAGGCCTACCTGAAGTCGACGCCCGCCACCATCGCCCGCCACCTGGAGTTCGCCCGCGAGAACGGCTTCACCGCCGGCGTCAAGCTGGTGCGCGGCGCGTACCTGAAGACGGAGCCGCGGCAGCTGATCTGGGACGTTAAGGAGGACACGGATGCCTGCTACGACGGGGTCGTCGAGGCGCTGCTGACCCGCCGCTACAACGCGATGCTCCGCCCGGCTTCGGAGAAACACACCGAGCAGCTGCCCCCGCTGAACGTGATCATCGCCACCCACAACCGCGACTCCGTCCGCAAGGCCCACGCCATCCGTCTGAAGCAGGCCGCCACCGGCGAGTCCCAGGGCGTCGATCTGAGCTACGCCCAGCTGCAGGGTATGGCCGATGAGGTCAGCTGCGAGCTCCTCCAGGGCTTCCCCGGCGGGGAGGGCGCCGCCGCCACCGAGTCGCCCAACGTCTACAAGCTGTTGACCTGGGGTACCGTCAAGGAGTGCATGGGCTTCCTGATGCGTCGCGCGGTCGAGAACACCGAGGCCGTCGGCCGCACCAAGCAGTCCCAGGAGGCGATGATGGGCGAGTTGAGACGTCGGGCGCGTCGGGCTTTCGGTCTGCGCAACTGATGCTTTACGATTTTTGTTTTCTTTGTGGTTTTTGCGGATTATATCCTTTTCTTCCTGCGTGTTGAGAATATTGGCGTCCTTTGGTTGCTGTTTGGTTTCGGGATCGGTTCTGAGTCCCTGAGCGTCTCATTGCATTTCAGATGGCGTTAGCATTAACTTTCAAACTCCCTTAGCTTTTGTTGGTGGCTGGAATGAGATCAAGATTGATATTGATACTACTGTTGTCGTTTTGAGGACTTTCGTAATTTTCTGGTGTTTCTCTGGGGTGAGAACATTGTTGGGAACATAGCATCAGCCGTGGTCTACTAGAATTACCCACCTATGAAGTGTTCTACAGTGCCGCCATTCAAGTTCTCGCCGGTTGCTGTCCGATACTGTCAGCTGACACAAACACCTCCACATACTCTATAATGCAGAGTGCAACCGCCAATCTCTCCACTATCAACATGTTAACAGAATGGCACAGCCAGCTTCATCAGCCAACAAACAAGAATCAAGATATGACGCATCCGCGGGGAATCCCCCACCTCCCCCCACAACTACACCAAGTCAGTGGTCGATCCGCTCAGCCCTTCTTTTCCACAGCCTACTTTTCCTCTTCCCAGTTCCCACTACTGACTGAAACCACGGTAACATCAACTCGTCGCCGCAAACCACCTATGCGCTCTACATGGGCGCATCCCCGTCTCAGATCCTCTGCTTCCAGGCTTCGGTCTGTTGGAGACTGAATGACTCTACCAACTGTGGTATCCCCACGGACAAGACTCACCGGTAGCTTACGCCAGTGGATTGGCGCAGGCGTGGAGGATGAAAATGACAGCGCCGACGGAGGGAATTATCTGGGCATTCTGACGCTGGGGTGGTGCTATAACCTCTCCGCTTGTCTCGTGGAGTTGCAGGGCGATGGTGCTAGCTTGCGGTATACCGAGTCCAAGGCTATGGGGGTGTTGCGAATGGGGTTAGCGAAGATACCGCAACGACTGTTGTTGATATTGGCGCGGTCGATGAGAAGATTTCCCGGTGGTGGTCGGCGCTCCTTGCTCCGGGTGCAGGCTGGAAAGCCGTCGTCGAGGTTTCTGCCGATGGCGAGTTTCTGGCGCCCTGGTCTGTGGCGTACGTGGGTGCTGCAGGAGGTACTGTATCGCATGGCGGAGGAACGGGGCTCTTAGAACTACTTCTACTCCTATCCCGCTGTCGTCCCGCCAGGCATTCGAGTCGCTCGCCCAGTTCGCCCTCTTGCACAACACGGGCAGCCAGTTCCTCGTTGCGCTCGCAACGGCGATCACCGTCCCCACGCATTCAGGCGCCCGTTGTTCAGCTGCTGCTGCTGCGCCCGCCACAAAATCAATCCCGCAAGACTGGGCGGTACTACGCGAGCACCTGCCGTACTACATGTCGTTGAGCTGCCACCCCGACGCGATAACATGTCCAATCTATGCGGCACCTTCTGGCAGGCCGATGTGCCGTGCACCCTCGTGAGTCCGTGGCTGCATCCCATCCTGAACGAGGTACGCGAAGGCTATGAATTGGACCAATATGCAGAGATCCTGGCCCCTCGTCGGCGGCATCCGGCGCCCCCCCCCCCCCCCCCCCCCAGCATCTCTGCGCTCTGGCTGGGCGCGGCGGCGGGTGGGCTCGTCCCGATGATCATCCGGCGGGTCCGACGGGGCAGGCCGCCTCTCGACCCGGTCGCGTTCCCGTGGACGGGCTGTGCACAGAGCTTATGGAGCGTCCAATCCGAGGATCGTATGTGGATGCACAACCAATGGATTGGATCTGGCGAGCGGATGTGTGGTGGCTGCTTCATTGGCCGGTTGTTGAGGAGGATGGGGTGTCGTATGCTCGCCCGCCCCGGACGCCCTGGGAGCCCTGGGAGCCCTGGGGGATTATGGGCATGAGGGATTGTGCGTTGCGGGTGCTGGCGCATTTGGGTTGTGCGTGGCATGAGTTCCGGTACTGTTGTTGGAGCTGGGAATTGGAGGGCGGTGAGGTTGTTCATGACCTGGGGGTTTCCCCAATAACGCAAATTGATCCTGCGACGCCGGACATAGACCCTTTCTGTGTCGGAGAGTTAGGACTCTTCCCTTACAAGCCACTTGACCAGGAAGCTTCGCAGGAGGTATCATTGGAGGTCTTTCGGTGGTCTGTGGTTAATGGCGAGGGGGTTCCTGCGGAGAATTTGTACCGGGATGAGTGGCTGGCGGGGCTGGATATGATGTGGATAGTGAGGAGGCGGTTGAGAAGGATGAGGGGGGTTCGAGCTGTTAGTTCTAGCTTTATTGATAGGGCATCGTGCGCGCCGTAGAGGACTGGTAGAAAGCATGTGGCATTGATCAAGACACTTAGGGTTCCGCTGGACGTAGTCTGTAAGAACGAACGGATTCCTTGGTCCTTTCCATCTACCTCAGGTCTCCTGCATCGGTGTGCGCAGAGGCGCATGCGTTGAAGGCCCTGTTGCCTTACGAGCGGCTACCTGAATAGTGCTGCGCATATCAGCTCGTACGATGGAGATGGTTCTGTCACCTCTGATGATAGACACAGGATACATACAAGTAGAGGTCCTGGCTAGAGAAACTATCTGCGCACCATGTGCATATGCCGCAGGTCCGTCTGGTTTGAGCTTCTACACATAGACAGTAATAGCCGATACTGTAGTCGATTGCCTAGGTCTCATATATATTTCATTGAGGTATGAAAATCCAGCGCGGACATGCCGCGCAATCCAGGCCAACTATTCTAGTCCTTGAGACATGATTCTCACCAAAGGGCTATGATGCACGACTTAAAGCTTGACCTTCAGCGACGACTGCAAACTAAACCCATCCCCGTGCGTCTTGTTGCCCGACTCCCCCAGCACCGTGACCTTCTCCACCCGCACCTCGGACCCGGCATTCTCCACCGCGACGCGCAGCTCGCGGCCCGTCCGGCTGTAGTGGAACGTCACCTCCGTGGCGGCGGCCTGCTCGACCGAGTCCCCGTCATCGAGATACAGACTGCCCGACGCAGTGCCATCCAGCCCGGGGGCAATCAGCAATTCAAACCCCTTCTTCCGCACCTCGGTCGTAGTCATGGCGCTGGCCGCGCGCACGGGCACGATATTCCCGCCGCGGACGTGGATGGGGATGTGCGTGTAGTCGACGTCCGTGAGGGTGATGTTCGCCCCGCGCCCGCGCACCGCGCGCCCCGTGTACCAGTCGTAAAAGATGTCGTCGGGGAAGTAGGCGTCCACGGCCGTGGCATTCTCCTGCGTGACGGGGCTGACGAGGAGGGCATCTCCAAAAAAGAACTGCAGGTCGTTGGCGAAGGTGTCCTCGTCCTCTGGGTACAGGTAGAACAGCGGCTGCAGGAAGGGCTCGCCCGTCTGCGACTGGCGGTGCAGCCCCGTGTAGATGTAGTCCAGCAGCCGGTACCGGATGTCGATCGCTTTCCGGGCCGACTCGGCCACCGTCGGCCACACGTAGAACTCCTGCGAGACGTCGCCCAGCTCGTTGTGGTTGCGGTAGAACGTGTAGAACGCCCCCAGCGCCGCCCACCGCGCGCACAGCTGCTCCGTTGTGTTGCCGCCGAACCCGCACACGTCCGCGCCCACCATTGGGATCTGGAACATGGACGCGAATGCCAGGATCTGCGCGATCGAGATCCGGTAGTGCTCCCAATCGCTGATGTTGTCGCCGAGCCTCGGGGTGGGTTAGGATGTGAGGTTTTGTAAGGGACGGGGTGGGGGAGGCTTACCAGTGTCCCACGTGCGAGCCCGCTCCTGCGTAGGTACTCCGGGTGATGATGAAGGGTCGGACCTCGGGGCGACGGGAGGCCATGGCGTCGCGCGACGCCGTGCTCATCACTGAGCTATGTTAGCAGCGTAAACAGAAGTTTGAGAGGCTGTGGTTGTACTCACTTGTTCCGTACAGATTGTGCGTGTCGTACTCAACGTAGCCCTCCCCGGCGTGGCCGATGTCGGTTTGGATTGTGTTCATGCTGATGACTCCGGCTGCATTCTGGATCTTGTAGAGCGGGTCAGTGAGGTTGCGGTCGGCTAGCCCGATCTTCGCCCCCTTGGTGCCTTGACTGTTAACCGAAGAGCGCTTGGACGCAGAGGGCTGGAAGTCCTGGGGGAACCCAGGCAGCGGGCGAGGGCTACTGGCTCGAACAGCAGGCGCAGCCGGGGGCAGGTCGTCGGAGATGGCGAACGCGGCCGGATCAGCGCACGGGTACGGGCAGAAGTTGGCCGCTTCGTTCATGTCAATCCACAGACCGTCGATGTCGACTCCCGAGGAAGCGTTGAAGAACTCTGCGAACTGCGCGTTCCAGAATTCTTGGGTATCAGGGTTGAACCAGTCCGGGTAGACGGTCACGCCGGGCCAGACGGCACCTGGTCGTAGGTAAGCTTTGTATACTTCACTGAAGGCAAAGGATGGTAGAACCTTCATATAAACTTCCATTCTGGTGGTGGAGGAAGACGCCTTCGCTCACACCAGTGGTGTATGCCGAGTTGTCTTTAACGGACTGTCAGCACTTGAACCTCATAATACTGCTGCTGGAGTACTCACTGCTGACGCTCACTGCGGGGTCAACCATAACAATGTACTTCTGGTCGTGGCGGTGTAGATAAGTGACCAGCTCGCGCATTTTGTTCAAGGGGAATCTTTCCGGGTCGAGAGTGAACACTCTCCGCTTATCCATGTAGTCGATGTCGGTCCACATGGTTTCCAAGGGGATTCCTGCTTTGCTGTAGTTGTACACCACCTCGGCTACATTGTAGACATCCTGGTATCCGTATCTGCATTGATGGAACTAACACAAGTTAGCCACGACTGGGAACTACAGTCCTTGGGATGGAGAAACGTACTCCCAAAGTCCAGTAACTCTGCATCGCTGGAAGGCCGACGACCTTAGAGTACTCAATACTCGCCTCCTTGGGAGTAGGCGCGGTGAAGAAGTAGAAGTCAAAGACGCCGCCCAAAGTGTTGTATTCGAGATATTGCTGGCCGTCGTCGGTCTTGTTGATCTTGATGTCCATGCCGTTGGAGTTCAGCAGCAGAACGCCGTGGGTTCCAGACTCGCCACGGTGGTCATAGTAGACCGGATGGCTGCCGTACAGGTTGGTCCCGTTGGGCGCGCTGTAAGCGTCGCGGTTCCAGAGCGTGCGGGTGTAGTTGTCTGTGGGCAAGCGCATAGGATCTGAGTGCTCCCCTAGTCCGTAAAGGTAGGGCTCATCGGGGAGCCAGGTGCGCAGGTTTAGATACTGGGTTTGGAACACGAGGTTCGATGCTGAGGAATCGAAGAGCACCTCGTCGTCTCTTGAGACAACAAACGAGAATGGCTCTTCCACCAGTCCGAAATCCAGCGCCGAGGTGTCGCTGGACCCGTTATCCCCGTCCACGCGGGGAAGCACAGATTCAGGAACCTGGTATACCTGTTCATCGGCATCGTAGATGATTACATGGAGGCGTTCATCTAATAATAACTGTGAGCGAGATCTTTGACCTCAAAACCCAATTGCACAAACTCATACCGGTCTGGTATTCCACAAGAAGTTTGAGATCGCGCAGATCCGTGCCATAGCTGTTGCAGGGCGAGCCAGCTAAAGTCAGGTCCGCTGTTAAAGAGTTCGCACCCTTCTTGACATTGGAGGCCTTGTAGCCAGGACAGTTATGGTGAGATGTCTCCGATCTGATAGCTGCAGCGCCCACTAGAGGGACAAGAGCAAACAAGAACCCTAGCATCCTCAGTCAAGAGCGCGCCTTAGGGAACAGCGTTGTTTGAGAAAGTGTGGTGAGATCGACTCCCGATCGTCAGGGTATATATAGGCATGCAACCGGTCAGAGCTTGCTGACAACGGATGCAGGGCATGTTGATCCAAGGCCATCAGAATGCAGGCTGCAGTACAACATTGACCCCACCAGCTCTCACAATGCTCGAAATTGTTCTGATGCCAAGACCAGCCCCGTCAAGTATTTTGCCGACGAAGACCGCGATTCAAAGTCCAGAAGTCGCTGCCAAGAGGCAGGTTAGACTCGAGTAGGAAGGCCGAGGTTGGGGTAGAGCGGAGGCTGAACCCTTAACAAGGTAATTGGCACCCTTTTTCAAAACTATTTCGGTCAATTATCGGGGATCATCGCCACTAGTGATTTGGGAAGTCGGGACTCATGCGGGGGGCATGTCGGCTGGGCTTTGGCGGTGGCTTGCATCCGTCAGAGCCGGCCACCTCATAGCGCGGTATGGTATGAATGGTTGCATAGGTATGTATCATTTGTGACGTCGCTCGTTCTTTTTCTGGTGGCACTAGAGCGACAGGTGCGGTGCAGGCAATAATTGGAAGGTCGGGACCCTTACGCTAAGGTGAGGGGAAGGTTTGGCTGCTGCAGCTGCAGCCGACGTGGAGCCAGCACGGGCCGTAAGACGAACACACCATTGCATCACAACAGATAGGAGAAGTTAGTGACGGGAATTATTGTTGGAATCTAACTGTGTTGCTGCGAAAGAAAGGCGTGAGTGTAAAGACACTGATCGTCTCCATGGATTGAGATCAAAGCTAGGTGACCCAGAGATATGGATAGTAGAAAAAGCAGAGAGCCAAGAGACCCGGGATCGGATCGGACTTGAGATGCAAGTAAACCAAGCCTTACCTAAAGAGGAAAATACTTCAACCACAACAGCCAACTCACCCCCCCAAAGAACAGTCTAGCATTGTTAATGCACCATCGTGTCTCCTATGCTTGACTCCTAATGGCTAGTCAGCCTACACAAGAGAAGTTCTAGAGCATTCAGACTTGTTTCCAAACGTGCACTCGTCAAACCTACCACGACCACCTGGTGGAAAATACTCGCTCATTGCCGCTGGTATTTCACCAACACGCCTCACCGAGTTCAAACTCGTCTACACATCAGAGCGATGCTCGAACATCCCTGAAGCTGACCTCTATATTCCGAAAAGTGTAGTAACTAAGCCTACCGAATGGACAACTCCTTTCGCACCTACAAGTACACCGGCAAACCAGTAGCATTCATCTCTGATCTTAGTGAGCTACGGGGCTCATCCGCACCGAAGAACCCCGAAAATTAACGAGAGGATCTCTGAGCACCCCCAGGATAACCTAGGTCCCCCGGAACCGAATCATGGCTTCAGGATGCCAAGGTCTACGGAGATTTAGCGGGATTATCTGTGGAGGGCGTGGACAAACACCGGCCGACGGACGTTGAGGGTGGGCACATAGTGCTGGGTGGTCGGGCGGAGCGGGTGAAGTGCGGGGACTGGAATAGGGTGGTTGGGGTTTGCGAAGTACCGTAACGCGGGGGAAGGGGTAGAGTATCGTTTGTGCTTTGCGTGCAAGGTCTCCTTCTGTTGAAGTAGCTTCCTGTGTGTAGAAGAGGGCTTGACAGGATCGCAAACATCACCGTAGTAGCTGCGCAGGTAGGCTTAAGCCCCCTAGCTCAGGGATTGGCATATGTCATAAGGTAATAGCAACAATTGCAAGCAGACTTGCTGCCAACCCAGACATGAATGCATGCCTTGGCCATCATAGAGATGCTTTCCCGGTAATCTATCTGCAACACGTGATCGAACCAGGAATTGTTTGGGTATTGAGTTGTTTGTTTGCTTGTTAAAAGGCAGTTGTCCGGTGTGTCCTTATCGCAAAGGCGCGAACCCGAGCCGGTCGGCCCTCGGGACTGATTAATTCCGGCGGAACTGATTTTATCCACCGTATCCGGTCGGATAACCCGGGCGCGCAGTGGTACAGATTGCGATGCCATATGTTGTCTTGATCAGAATATCAGGAATGTATATGTGCACTGGTCGCTTATCAGCAGAGACTCTCTGGGAGTCACTACTAAAGGATAGGCAGAGTTACTATGGAAAAGAACAGTTGTGCCTCATATCAATCGCAACAACCGGAGCACTGGCATCTCTCCGGTGCGCGGCAGCTGTGTACTGTGTACAGGGATTGTGGGGAGCTGAATTAGTCATCGTGGGGATGTGGCCTCTGAGCTACGTACGCATCGGCATGCATCCAGTTATCGGATATGCCGGCAATGCTCTGCCATTGTGAAGCATCGAGCTGAGCGACAAGGATTCTCATGTGCAGAGAGCGAAAGCATGTCAATCGACTAAGCTTCGTGTCTGCTGCGCGTAATCTATCTACTGGACTTGTTCTGGTTATTGGGGGCTGATAGAGGCAATTGACCAGATAAATCAAATCAAATTTGACGAGAAGAGCTACGAATGGATATATTGAGATACACGCTTGACAAAATCTATTATCTATACTATCGTAAACTCGCTACAAAATTTCAAGCCTGGTTCTCGATCTTGGTGATCAAAGTGCCGACGTGAGGCTGCAGCTCGACAGTGAACTCATCGCCGTGCTTCAAGAACTCCTTGGGGTTCTTGGCAGCGCCAACACCGGGGGGAGTACCGGTCAGAATGATGGTTCCAGCGGGGATCGTGGTGCCCTGTGACAGGAAGCTGACGAGCTGGGGAACGCTGAAGATCAGGTCACTATACAGAATTGTTAGCTTTTATGTTGCGCGTAAGGAAATCAACCAAACATACGTGAGAGGGCAGTCCTGCAGGACCTTGCCGTTCTTGGATCCCTTGATGTGGAGCTTGCTGGCATCGGGGACTTGGGCGGCGGAGACTAGGACGGGGCCTACATTCGATACAGTTAGAAATATGCTACATCGATGGGTGAGAAGCGAGCGTGCTTACCGATCGGGCATGAGGTATCGAATCCCTTGGAGAAGCACCACTGGCTCTGGTTCATCTGAGAGGTCCGGCTGGATACATCGTTTGCAGCCGTGTATCCGAGCACGTAGTCCAGCGCCTCCTCCTCGCTCACATCCTTTGCATCACGGCCGATGACGATGACCATCTCCGACTCATAGTCACCGGTGTTGTCCTTTTGTGTGATCTTGGGCAGGACGGTGGGGGCGGGCCACGGGTCCGAGAGCGCCGTCGGGGGCTTCATGAACAGCGTGGGGACGGTGGGAATGTCCAGCTTCATCTCCGCGGCGTGGGAGACGTAGTTCAGGCCAATGCACCGGATGGTGCCGACCTCGGTCTGTGCCAATGGGGAAAGAATGCGCTCGATGGTCTCGGTCGCGTCGGTCTTCTGGCCGGGGTTCAGGACCGATGTGCCGGAGAAAGGTCGCACGGCGACTTCCTGGCCCTTGTAGACAGCCAAACCCACATCAATGGAGGCATCGACGGGCTCGCCGATCAGGATCTTGGAGGGGTTCGACTTGGGGACGAAGCGCACAAGGCCTGGTGGAGGGTTAGCCGCTGAAGCATTTTTTTTTTGGCCAGAATCGTTCACATACGCGAGAAGGTGGATGCGATTTTAGACATGGTGGATGAAGGATGGATGTGAGGTATGATGCGAACGGGAGAGATGTGTAGAACAGTGGATTCGACGCTTATAAGAGGAAGGCGGCATATAACTACCCCGACATCGCAGCTGCCACCCCTCTTTCTGGTGCGGGGAGGGGTAAAAATAAGAGGTGGGGCAAATGGCGAATTGAGGTCGGGTGGGAAGCTCGGAGGTGGTCGAACTGTTGGCCTCCTTCTCGGACGAAACCCGGCGACGACTGCTACACTAAACAGCCCACTTCAACACTTCCCCACGCCGCGGTTGTGGGGATGTCGCCAGCGGGGATCTCGGTCGGAGAAAGCGGCGAAGTCGCAATGCGCTTGACGCTGGTATAAAAGGCTACCATGTACGCCGTCGCAGCTTCTTCAAGATTTTGAACTAAGCATATTCCTCAATCAGCCATCATGTCTCCCAAGGGCCCCTTCCGTCTCGTCACCGTCAACACTGCTCCTGAGAGAGCCAAGCGCCTGATCGGCCGCCTTATCGAGGCCCTCAAGGACCGCTACACTATCATTCACGTTGATAACTGCGAGAGTGAGTAAATCAATTGTCTGAATGCCTTGTCCTATACTTGACTGACCACGAGCCTGAGCAGAGATCGAGGAGGTCGAACCCAAGGTCAGGGAGCACATGCCTGACGTTCTGGTAAGTTGGGATCCTCTGCCACGAGCACCAATTCGCTGGGAATCCCCTCTACCTCTGGTATATGTTCTGACTCGATCCTACAGTTCAGCGCTTCCATGTGGACCAAGGAGCAGGCTCAGGAAATCCACTCCATTGCTCGTTCGATCAACCCCACCATCAAGCTCCACGCCATCCCCGAAGGCCTCCAGGTCGAGCGCGGCCCCGATGCCATCGTCGAATACCTTGTCGAGAAGGTCCCTCCGTTGTTGGATGCTTAAGTGGACATTGCTCTGAAGGGGTGAGAGTGCCAGGGGCAACTCACGGATTATGTGGTGGAATTGATGATACTCTACGTCCTGTATATAGTTTATTTCACAACAATGTTCGCGGAATCGCGACAATGCTTCTACGGACCATGATCTGTATACTGTAAAGCTCTTGACTGCTGATCGTGCTATTAAGCGCATGAGAAGTGGCATCGAAGCGGTTCTTAGTAATTGGGAGATGTGCCAATGGCATATAAGAGTTGCTCCCTCCTACTGCGCGTCCTGTGCATCCAAAGCGTAATATATATTGTCTACAGTATGCCTCGAAAAAAATACTACCGAGACACAATGCGGATCACGAGTATGGGCGATATTATTCTTTGGTGCATATGAAGAGTCAACAATCTCCAGACTTGCCAGCTCTCCCACTTCCCAAAATCGTAATCCAGTCCCTCGAAACAGAGACCGGATATGGCGAAAAATCGTAATCCAGCCCCTCGAAACAGAGACCGGATATGGCGATGATGCCCGCCGCGGTATCCCAAAACGGTCATACATAGTGCAGACCGCCTTCCTTGTACAGCCGGCAGAAATTGAATGTTTCCCCGCTCCTGCAGAAATGCTTTTTCGAACGAAACCCATCATAAACCAGGCACAAAAGAACTATTTACTTATTTCCGAGTCGTCGTGCACTTGATTTCCACCTGGGAAATTATACATCATCATGCCAAGAGATCCATTGATCGGCTTGGTGGGAAAGGTCTTTTTTATCTTCCCCATCCATCCACCGTCTGATCCACTGCTGATTCCAATGAGGGGAACCTGTAGCCGTCTAGCGGAAAGTCAACCACCCTCAACAGTTTGACTGATGCTTCCTCCAAAGTTGGTATGTTCGGATAATATTACCGCGAGTCTTAGGCGATCACCCTATACTAACTAGCATGACTATTGCCCAGGAAACTTCCCGTGCGTTTGACACCTACCCACCCACCGATTGACCAACCGTCCACCGAATAGCGCTGATGCCTCCCGCAGATTCACCACCATCGATCCTCAGCGCGCTATCGGCTATCTTCAAATCGAATGCGCCTGTCAAAGACTGAACGTTTCCGATAAATGCCGACCGAACTACGGAGGCTGCGTGGAGGGCCGCCGCTCGGTGCCGATCGAGCTCTTGGATGTAGCTGGTCTGGTTCCGGGCGCGCACCAGGGCCGCGGCTTGGGGAACAAATTCTTGGACGACCTGCGCCATGCCGATGCGCTGATTCACGTGGTGGATGTGAGCGGGACGACGGATGCAGAAGGTACAATCACATTCCCGGGGTTCAATCTAGCCTCGCGGGGTTACTGGGTGGATGGGACCGGGCTGACCGGATATCTGCAGGCAAGGCCACACGAGGCTACGACCCTTCGCAAGATATCGAGTGGCTTCACTCTGAGATTGTGCGTTGGGTGCTTGGCAACTTGATGCAGAAATGGTACGGTCGCGTTCGGAATCATAGATCAGATGGAGAGGCTGATTTTGTAACCCCAGGGGCTCGATCAAGAGGAGACATGTTGCTACAAGTGAGTTGATGGCGTGGTGAATGAACTTGTGGCAGGCTTTGCTAACGCTTCAGCTAGAATCAACGGCCGTGGATACATTGCAGTCTCAGTTCTCCGGTTACGGAAGTACATCCTCCATCGTCGGGCGGTGTCTGGATAAGTTGGCGCTCAAGGAACCACTGGAGGCCTGGTCGGATGAGACAGTGGAGAAGGTGGTCACGACGTTCATCGACGAGAAGTTCCCTACCGTGTTTGCCTTGAATAAGATCGACCATCCCGATGCGGACAAGGTATGTGCTTCCCTTCCACGGATGGATGTGTTCTTGAGCTAACCTGTGGGATACTAGAATATCAGCAAAATCGCCAAGATGCAAGACCCGAAGTCGATCGTGCTGTGCTCCGCCATCTCGGAGGTTTTCCTGCGCCGACTTGCCAAGCAGGGCTATATCAAATACATCGAAGGAAGCGAGTTTGTAGATATGCGAGAGGACCTGATTGATATGGGTGATCCGGATGGAGGTGGTCTCAAGGAAATGGACGAGAAGCTGAAAACGTACGACGCACCAGACTGGACTTGTCAGCAGGCAAGCTAACTTTGAAACCTCCAGGCGTGTCGAGAACTTGAAAGATATGGTTCTGTACCGATTCGGATCCACCGGTGTTGTCCAGTGTCTTTCACGTGCTGCGGAACTCCTGGGGCTTGTACCCGTGTTCCCTGTCCGCAATATCCACACCTTCTCATCCGGAGCCGGGACGGCAGTCTTCCGAGACTGTGTCCTCGTGGGAAAGTGAGTAGTCAATTGATCAAGCTAAAGCTAGCAGGGAATGTGCTGACAATAAGTAGGAACAGCACAGTGGGCGACGTTGCCCGCAAGGTCATGGGAGATGTACCCATCTCATATATCGAAGGAATCGGCGGAACGCGCGTTTCCGAGGATGAAATTGTGGAAGTTGGGAAATACGACGTACGTGGATTCCTTGGTTATTTACCATTCATGCGAAGACTAATCTTGCCTTTAGATTCTTTCTTTCAAACCTGGCCGATAGATCCCCGCCATACAATCTATGTACAGTGAACATGATAATGAAACTATAAACCGATGTGATGCTACATTCATGAAGAGAACACGAGTTTTTAGAACAGCAGAAAACGATTGTTGCACAAACTGATATCAGCCAGACATTATCGACGAGATTTAGTGACCGCGCTGAGAAGTAGGTGGGTTAGCTAGAAATACTCGCGGCCACTGTTATCGCGCAAGTAAGGATTGCCGAGCATACCTGTCCGCGCTCATCATTCATCCCGATAATCGGCTCCGGCGCCTTTGGATGCTCCTTCTTGGCCTTGCGCTCGTGCTTCAGCCCCCCGCGCTCCGTGGCGCCCGCCTGCTTGGAGCTGTCCGGCACCCCGTAGCTTGACTCTCGGTCCTCCTGCCCGGCTGATGAGGCATCGGTCGAGACGTCGGTGTTGTCACGCTTCTTGGTCCGGTTGACGGCGTGGTCGTCGGCGTTGGTGCCCACCCACGAGCTATTCCGACAGGCTTGCGCGGCGGTGGCCGGGTTGGTGATCTGTTGCTGCTGTCTTGCGAGCAGACTGGGGAGTCTCGAAGCGAAGCGGGTCGTGGTGAACATGGACATTCTTGCGGTTGCGTAGGTTTGTATGATGTGTAGATTTCCGGCTCGTAGTAATGCCCTCAACTCGACGGTAGAGAGAAGATAAGAAGATAATTAATTGGGGTTGAATTGATCGGGATTCTGTGAAGATGGTAGCTGTATGGATAAATGACATCAACGACAATGCTCCCCCCTAGCTGGTTATATACTCCGCGGTCAATCCAGTGACTTTTACCCCGGTAATGGCCATGACCGCGTCCTTGGCGCTGCATGACGTCTCCATGCCGTAATGAGCCTGACCCTAGGGTATAGGGCTTACGGGGTGCTTATCGATAACGGCCGGGAACGGTACAGAACGGGGGGGCGGAGGGTCAACGTCAAATCAAAACATCCTCCATCCTCCACCCTTATATACCCTGCATGCATGCTAGGTTATGCTATGCTGTTATGCAGATAGCTTCCAGCAAAGAGTAGGTCGATCAGCAACATGAAGCGCGCGCACTTACCGATTGAGACGCTGCCGGCGTGGGTGAGGCTCAATGGAATCGGGGTGGAGAGCGTTGTCTTCGGTACTCTCGGCGCGGAGCATCACCATGAAAATGATACCTCGGATAGCAACAGCAACAGCAACAAGGGTACAGGGATCATCGCGACGGAGGATCGAGCCGGTGGCGAGACCGCCCTTGGCGCCGTGGACACAGGGGTGCTATTGAAGGTTCCCCCGGATCTGATCCTGTCGTTGGAGACGGTGCACGGGTATGCCAAGTCGGATGGGCGGCTGCGAGCGGTGCTTGATGCGGTCGGAGAGTTTGGGCGGGTATGTTTTCTTTCCTCTCTACCATCGTTATCTTAAGGGGCTGGGGTTTTAGAAATATTGAAACCGGGGATGGGGGCTCGGCGGTCCATGATGCATGTTAACAAAGGCAACAGACCCCGCGCGGCGCGATCCTGATCTTCCTGCTCATGCAGATCACGCACTCCAGTCCGGATTGCACGACACAAACCCCGGTGGTGGGTGTCGCGGGCCCCTGGACGGAGTATATGAAGTACATGCCGCGGGAAATCCCGCTGCCCACGTTTTACTCGGATGCGGAGATGGAGCTGCTGCGCGGGACGTCGCTGCGGCTGGCGGTGCATGCGAAGCTGGCGGCGTTGGAGAAGGAGTTTGCGCGGCTGCGGGAGGCGACGCGGGGGATTGACTGGTGTCGGGAGGTTTGGTGGGGTGGTGATGCTGCTGGTGATGCTGAGGGTGATGATGCTGAAGAAGAGGGACGGCTGATGCTCGAGGACTGGAAATACGTCGACGCGCTGTATCGCTCGCGGATGGTAGACCTGCCGACCAGCGGGCATGCGATGGTCCCCTGCATTGACATGGCGAATCATAGCTCCGACGACACGGTCAAGGCGCTGTATGATGAGGATGCGGAGGGGAATGTGGTGCTGCAGTTGCGGTATGGGAAGAGGGTGCATGCGGGGGAGGAGGTGACTATCTCGTGAGTTCTATTCCCGTTTGGGATTATGGGTTTTGGGGGCTTGGGTGAAGATTGGGGGCTTACTCTGGGCATGAAAAGGTACGGCGGCGAGAAGCCCGCTTCGGAAATGATCTTTTCGTACGGTTTTCTGGATCGAGATACCATCGATGCGAAGCAGATATTCCTGGATTTGGACATCCCGGACGATGATCCGCTGAAGGTTGTTAAGAAAGCGTTCTGCAAGGAGCCACCGGGCGTCCGGGTGTATACGTCGGCTGCAGATTCCGAATCAGCGCCCACCACGGCCTGGGAAAGCTCCATTATCTGGTGGGCGTGCGTGAATGAGGAGGATGGGTTGGATTTCACGGTCCTCCAGACTACTGATGGCGGACGCGAGTTGAAGGCGCTGTGGAAGGGGGCGGAGTTGCGCGACTCGAGTCATCTCAGCGAGCTGCTCCGTGCGGATCCGCAATGGGATATCATTCAGCTTCGTGCGGTGGTGCTTATCCTCGAGAGGCTGGAGACGCAGGCTTGGGTGCTCCGGGAGACGGGCTTGATGGTCTCTGAGATTGACGAGAATGAGGACGTGCGGGCGATGTTTAGGCCGGATGTTTACGATATGATCAAGCGTTTGCGAGTGTTAGAGATGAATTTGTTGGGTCGGGGGATTGAAGGCTTGGTCACGCGGGTATGTTGCACTTTCTTCGGGTTGCTTGTCTTGCGATTACGTTGCTAATTTGAGTGTTGCAGAGAGACGAGCTCATGGCCAGTCCGGCGGTCAGTCAGTATCTTGGGCAGCAGCAACCGGAGACTGTTGTGGCGGAAGATGACTCCGGCCAGCAGCAGTCTGAAGATCTTGAGGAAGATTTCTCTTGAGGCGAACTGAAGACAACAGCACTGTAATGACGACTGGACAAGATGCGAAAAAACGAGTTCTCTTAAGAGAAGCCATGATCGCACAACATGGCAGTGCCAATCCGATAAGTGGTGACATAGTATTAGTTATAGGCCTCACAGTGATGTAACATAATCCATAAGTAAACTGGCTATGTGTGAGCCGGCCACCTTGGTAACTACTACTACATTAATGATACTAAGTATATTCAGATACGAATATCTCCATAACGAATACTAAGTCTAATTAACATCGTAGTAGTATATGTAAGATATGCAGTAATAAGAATTTTATTCCACGCGATTAAGAAGGTAGTTTCTTAAAGAAAAAGAAAAAAAAAAAAAGGAAAAGAATAGAACTAATCGAATTATAAATCTTGATATTTCCACCAAAAAAGATAGTCCAGTCAAGTCTATCTCTAGGTAGGTGGTAAAAGCACACTGACGGTAAGGAGGCAACAGAATCCTATTCTCATCTATTATGCATGCACATGTCGGTTGAGCTGTGTAGCGTAAGCTCTTCCAGGATGTTCCTATGAAGTATACCTTAATTCCAGCATGAAAGGCTTGCTTAAAAAGCCCCTGATCATTATCCGGCCCTCACCCGACTTTCTACTAGATACAGAACAAAAAGCTCCCAACAATAAAAGTGAGACATCTCATTCTGCGTATCCCCGGTACTATGCGTTTCCCATATACCCCTCCACATAACAAAATAACTTATCTTTCAGCAAACTCCACCCCCTCATGCTAAAAGTCCGCTCTCACTCCGCTGCACAATTAAAGCTCTTCGCCCGATCATTCCACCCCAAATACGCCAGATTCTCATAACCCGGGAAATGGATCTGCAGTTCCTGGCCATGACAGCCCGACTCCCTGGTGCATACAAATCAATAACCCATCCTCGAGATTGTTCATAGCAAGCAAGTAGGGGGGCAGCGGTCAAACTCACGAATACAGCGTACACCAACTCCCTCGATCCGATCCCGCGGCCGAGACACCGCGATCGCCCGGCGGGAATTGATCGGTGATGGTTGCTTTTTGGTCTTGTGTTAGTCAAAGGCTTAAAGCTGGGTTGGTAGGGTCTTAAGGGGTAGGTGGGTAGGTATGGTAGGTAATTTGGGGGCAATGCGTACTGCACTGTCCAAAGGGGGGGGTATAGTGGACGCAGTAGCCCCGGAAGAGCGCGTTCTCGCAGAGGTAGAGGCCGGAGTTGGTGTTGGTGTTGAAGAAGACGTGTTCGGCGGTGGTGACGCGGGTGGTGGTGGGGATGGGGGCTTCGAGAATGGTTTGGTCGGCTTGCTGCTCGTGGCAGGGGAGGCTTGTGGCGGATTGGAAGAGAAGAGGGAGGAGGATGGTGGTGGTGAGAAGATGCATTTGGATTGTTGGTGGAATTTGTGAAAGGGGTTAATGGCTTGTTTTGCGGTTGCTTGGGACGGTTTGGTTTGATGGGGATTGAAGGAGCGAGTCGGCACGACCTTATATACCTTTGCTCAGGTGTAATTGGACTGGATACGGCGTGCTTGTACTTCACTCCAAGTTGGCTGTTGGATGCCCAAAGACGAAGGCTTTTCTCGAACATGCTTGCTTCGTGTTGGACTCTGTGCATATCGACTACGACTGGATCATTCACTGAGTCGAGGCATGCAACGCTGTGAGATGAAGTGGTGCTTCGTATTTGAAGAGCCTCATTCCTGAAACTACCCAATTATCAGCGCCAATTCTTGTTGTCTATCCGGGGGAGCTGCGTCTGGGATCAAACCACCTCTACTTAGTACTCTAATGGAGCCAAGAAACTCGAGGACTCGGACTGGCCGATGCCAAGAGACACGGAAGCTGTCAAGGGGATCTTAATTTGCCAGGGCAAGGTGCCTAACAAAGCCAAGCACGGAGGATGTGCGCCAAGACTCGGATGTGAAGAGGACTGGACTGGTACAATGCAGGCTAATGCATAGCCTGCATATTCTCGGGGAATGCTTAACGGCAGGACGCGAAGAGAACAAATCAGTGGTGGGCACGTTGTGCGCTGTGCAGATTACCCATGTCAGAGGTTGTCAGGAGATGGTCAAGCAAAGGATCCAGAACGTTCCCACATTCATCACAGCTCGAGAAGGTGCATATATTGATACGAGCGTGAGCGTCCTGATGACGAGGGAAGTGGCTAGTTTGTTGCGGACTTGAGGATGTTCTTCCTTGGCGGGTAGCCATCTTATACTCTTGGTAGTGTAGAGCCCTTGAGTCGAATATCGATTCAGGCTGATTGGTTTTGATTAGATATATTGGATCTATTTGTTGTACTTATACCCGAGCTGCTTACCCGACTAAGTACAGTACGTTACCACCCGCACCGAAACACAAGGAATAAGTATGAGGCTAGAACAAGGACTAAAGTACATGCAAAAGGAATGACTACATACACCAAATCCCAATCTTCAATATCGTACCCAGCTTGAAAGATGTTGAGGGGGCTTCTTAGCCTAACAGGCCATGCTCCAGCATCTCGCAATCTTTTGCCAGAACACTAAGCCACACCGTCTGCGCAATCTCTTTACCTCCCCCCCCCCCCCTTCTCATTTGCCTCAGAGAGCAGAATCATCCCTAGTAAGGAGTCTGCTCATGGAACCACTTCATCATAAACTTAACCTGCGCCTTCTCCGCGATGGCCACATTCTCAAACGCATTGCCCAACTCCATGACCACCTGCGTGCCATTCTTGTTGTTCGGCCGCCACACCGGCAGCGTGCCGTTGCCCGTGTACGAGCCGCCTTCGTTGGGGTTCAGCGTCTTCGCGAAGTTGGCCCAGTACGCCGACATGTGCTCCTGGATCTCCCAGTCCTCGTCGGTGAAGGGGTAGGTATCGACGTTCGCGTACAGCGCGTTCAACGCGTACATGATCTCGGACTGGTGGAAGGCGCCCTGGCTCTGGCCGGGCGGGGCGTGGGTCCAGTAGTAGGTGTAGAAGTCCGAGGTCGCGGCCTTGTACCAGTCCGTCGCGTAGGCCCAGGAGCCGATGAGCGAGGCGTCGCGGGCGGCGGCGTTCCACGAGCGGTCGGCGGTCGCGGCGGTGCCGTTATCGGGGTACAGGCGGATGTACTCGTCGTACAGGTCGCCGTACTTGGCTTTGGTGTAGGCTTCGTACTGCTTGACGGTGTAGGAGGTTGTGGTCGAGGCGCCGGACTCGTCCTTCGTGTTGCCGGTGATCACGGGGACGTCGTTGGCGGGCCCATTGATTAGGGTTTCCAGGTAGGTGGAGGGCAGGACGTAGCCGTCGAGGACGGGCTTGAAGATCAAGGGATAACCAGCGGAGAGGGCGGTGATCGGGTCGATCCAGGTGCTGTTGACGCGGTCCTGGGAACCCACCAGCAGGTCCTCCATGCTCAGCGTGCGCAATTCGGCGATGCTGCTTGCGTTGTGGAAGGTCGTGTAGTTGACGCCGTGGAAGAGGGCGGTGGACATGTTCACGTAGGAGGTGGCCAGTCCTGCGAGGAGCGGGTCGTAGGGGTACCGGATGCCGGATTCAGAGATGCCTCCGTGGAAGTAGCCGCTGAACAGCGGACTGTTGACGGCATGGTAGACCTGCGACGAGCCGAAGGATTGGCCTGCGACAACAACGCGGTCCGGGTCGCCGCCGAATTGGGCGATGTTGTTGCGCACCCATTTAAGCACTTCGAGCTGGTCAAGAACACCGTAGTTGCCGGAGGTGTTGTGGCCAGTGAGCTTGAGGCCTTCCTCGTTGAGCTCCGGGTGCGCCAGGTAGCCGAAGGCGTCGTCACGTCGGTTGAAGGTGATCAGGATCACGTCCTTGAGCGCCATACCGCCGCCGTACCACCAGGCATCATCCGAGGTCTCGTCGCTGCCTTGGTTCCAGACCATGACTGGCAATTTGTCGCTGGCGCTCCCCGCATTGGTCCACAGGTTCAGGCTGAGGCAGTCCTCGCTGATGTCCGTGGCGTATTCGCTGGGGCAGGCGGGGCCGAAGGCCGTGGCCTGGAGCGTCTCGTTCCACGGCGTGCGTGGCTGCGGCGCCTTCCAGCGGTTCTCGTAGCCCGTGTCCGCGGCGAAGGGGACGCCCAAGAAGGCGGTCACGTTCGACTCCGAGACACCGAAGTACTTCTCCAGGGTCGACTGATTGAAATACTGGAAGCCCTGCACGGGACCGTAGCTGGTTTGGATGACTTCATCCCACAACTGGGCGTGAACGAGGGAGGCACCTAGGGCCAAGGAGGCCAGGCCCTTGGTGGCGAGGGAAGGCATGCCTTAGTTTCTTGGACTTGTAAGGCAGGAGGGGAATGGAGTGGATGATGGTTGATAGAGAGTTGGGGGTGGCGAAGGGAGATATGCGAGGCTTTATAACCTGCGTCCCTGCCAGGCACGGCTGCGACGGCGAGCCGTTAGATCTCCGCGACTACCGAGGGTGGTGTGACAGACTGGAACAAGCACACGTGGGGACGTGATTGAGAATAGTGCTTCATGCGTAGTCTGCATGACGATCCTTGCCGCAAGTTGTAAGTAGCGCACTTCTAGAAACCATGGTGCCTTGCGAGACGCATCAGATATGCCTCAGCGGGGCGCGCAGCAGATTGACGGGTTGCATTTGCTGGACGGACTGTCGTCATATCCTTGCTCTATTGGACTATAGTCCCAGGGTGTTATAGTTTGGTTTCTTCACGAATTACCCTTCCGAGTCGAATGATGTGAGGCATTTAGACTGTCTCACGGCCCAATCTTAACAACTTGAGTAACCAGAAAGATCTGCTGATTTTCAAGACATAAGAGACCAAGGAGGTGCTGAGAAGTGCCTTGTCCTGAGCACTCTTGACTGCCCGCTTCTCTGCTTCTCCGCTTCTCATTCCGCGCCAGCGACGCGTAGTGAATGTAGTGATGCAATCATGCAAGCGACCAGAAGATAAGCTCGGACGATTCGGAGACTTGGCGGGATCGGCCGGCCCGCGTTACTGTCTGCAGGAACCAACTCCGCACGGCTGGGACGCGGCTCGGCGATTACTCCTAGGACAGGTAGTCCCGCACGAAGCGCCCCTCTTGGGCGCGGAGATACCCACAAAGCCCGAACTTGGCTCGCAAACTACACCCATTTTGGGACTCGGGTTCGGCAGTTACGGTTCTAGAATCTAAAAATGAAAAAGTACGATAAGCACTGGGAGTACATACTTGATATACTTGGTCGAGAAGGTTGAGTAGAGCAATTACCAAGATGACCTGTCTCTCAATATGTGCCACTAATACTACCAAGTTTGAAGAAACATAACCAGCAAGAAGAAGTGACCACGCCCTGAGGACTGATGAGTGGAATGGTAATGACAGCAGCTCCTCACTCGAGAATCAAGACACTGCGCAGCTCGAAAACGACTGCTGGCAAGATAAGAAAACTCAAGAAATGCACCAATATAACGAAAAGACCAGGTCGCCTCTTCAACAAATCTAGCCAACTTGACCATCAGCAGCCAATTCTGAAATTGGCTCATCTAAGGCTGCAGCTTTTCTCCAACTGGCTCCTACCAGTACTGCCTCCCCTCATTCTCTTGCTTCTTTATTCTCCTATCAGAGGAGGTCAAATATTTCCAAGAGTATGGTTCTGGTTCCTGTACAGGTTGCAATGCTGATCGATCCTCCCCTAAGTGGAACTCCGGTTCAGGCTTAATTTCTGAATATCGTGGAGTCTCAGGCTTGACCTCGGATAGAGGCTCTGACTCTGGCTCTGGCTCTGGCTCTGGCTCTGGCTCTGGCTCTGGCTCTGGCTCTGGCTCTGGCTCTGGAGCATGTCCATCCTCAACCGCAACTGCTGACGGCGCAGGCTCGACCTCAAGCTCAGCTTCAGGCACAGATTCAGCCTCGGGAACAGGGGCGGACTCGGAGAGCAGCTCTGGCTCCGTTGCTTGCTTCAGCTCCCTGAGACCAGAAAGCGGCTTCGGTACAGGTCTGGAATCACATTCGCCTTCCCTTTCTTTTGCGCGACCTAGCATCTGTTTCGCCTTCATATACTTGATTGTGACTTCACCAAGAGTTTGATGAAGCCTCTTTCTCTCCCCCTCGAGCTGGCCCAAGGCCTGATCGACGATAAACCCATCGAAGCTCTCCTCCTTACCAATGCCATATGCCCGTATAATCTGTCTCAGAGACACCGGGCTAGTCCAGAAAGCAATTGCTAAGCGTTTCCGAACAAAGTCCTCCAGCCAAGTGCGGGCCAGCTCCTCGCCGCGCAGACCGTCATATACTTCCCTTATCACTTTCAAAGTGTCCTCAGTTGGCAGTCGCGCTGCAAATTGCTTCAAGAAGCCCTTGGCCAGCTCCTGTAGCCCGGGGACTTCGTAGTACACCGCTGCGGCGTAGGTGTGGGCCGCGCGCGTGAGCTCTTCAAGGTCGCGGGCGCGCACGGCCTCGGAAACGTCAGCAACCGTGAGTGGGCGTCCGTTGTACAGCGTCTCGTATTGACCAGTGCTAAGGTAATGAATGAAGGTATGGGCGGCTCGAGACTCGATGGCTAGCTCCAGATGGTATAGCTTTCCATCCTGCAGCGAGCCTGACCCCTTTTTAAATGTGCTGGGTCCTCGGTGAGATGCTGACGAATCACACTCGAGTCGAGCGTACGGCCGCAGGTAGTAGTGTAGAACGGTATAATACTCGTCCTCTACCTTGAGAGTGATTGGGGCGGTCTGGTAGGGACTGCTGACATTAGAACCATCCTAAATTGGAAGAAACGCACAAAGGAAATGGAAAAGAGTAGAGACATTGAGAAATCACCTATAGGCGTGTTAGGTACAAGCTTGAATATTATCAATCGGGCTTACCTTTCGTCTCGTTGAGTGTATTCCGTCAGATCGGGAATGGTGAGGTCCTCGGCCAGTTCTTCGTCCTCGGCCAGTTCTTCGTCCTCGGCCAGTTCTTCGTCCTCGGCCAGTTTTTCGTCCTCGGCCAGTTCTTCGTCTTCGGTAAGTGGAGCCGTCTCCAGCTCTTGCTCTGGCTCCAGCTCCAGCTCTGGCTCCAGCTCCAGCTCCAGCTCTGGCTCTGGCTCTGGCTCTGGCTCTGGCTCTGGCTCCAGCTCTGGCTCTGGCTCTGGCTCTGGCTCCAGTTCTGGCTCAGGCGCCAGCTCCAGCTCCGGCACCAGCTCCGGCTCCAGCATCAGCTCACGCTCAGGCTCCGGTCCAGGTCCTGGCACCAGCTCCGGCTTTGATTTCTGGCGGTTAGTCGTCTTTTTGTTAATCTTTTTTTTAGCCATTTTCGTTTTAAAATGGTGTGAGTCTGTAAAGCTGAATGTATATTTGGGTTAGCAGAGCACCTTGATGTCTGCTTTATAGCCTACTTGAGAGCGCTGTACAGACTAGATTGATTGATTGCGAGAGCACATCAAACCCGTCCGGAATCCAATGACACGTCAGTACCTACCCCTGCAAGCAAGGCTGCGAATGCGAGGCGTATGCGAATGCCTCTATGTAGTTGGTGTGCGCTGGCAAGCAGGTCCGACCGCCGCGACCCAAACTGCCGGGACGAGGCAGCCAGTAATTGATGGGGAGTATCGTGGTTGCTGGGCGCGCAAGGTACTCTATCCCTGCGCGTGACTTTCTCCGAGTCTTCCGATGAGTATCTTTCCTGGCCACGGAGATCGTAGAATTGCCAAGAACCCTGCTCAGGCATTACAGGCTATAATGTGGACAATATGGCTGAAATGGTCATGGCCAAGTATAGATGGTGCCATTATGAGTTGAGAGCCTCGAGTAGGACCTTAAGTAGGTGGTACATGGACTACTCCCAACTCTACAGTCTTTTACATGAGTTGTGACCTGGCAGGTGCAGTGCAACGTCGTTATCTTAGCACCCGGGAAAATTTGTCCGGGCGTCACCATCGCATCATAATCAGCTGTTTTGAAGACAGCAGCGGCGCAGCCGTCGGGCCCATCAACATGGTTTCAAGCCTCGGCATTTGCTCCTATTCGAGCTTGTATGTCGGTTTGTGGCAGATGGTTTGTGAGCCCTGCATATAGGTCTCGAATAGAGTTAGGTCTTGAATAGACAATTAGAGACCAGAAGTTGCCCGTCTGAAGTGCTGCTGCTGGTGATCTGTTCTCGACCGAATGATAATTTCTAGACAGCCGACCCCGCTTACTCGAACCTAATCTACCCGAGGGCCCGGGCTCGACCCACGACCCACGACCCCTGATCCTCCTCTGTGGACCTTACCAGGTAGGTTGTTTTAGGTATTGTCAAAAGGATTATCAGATATAGACTACTGCTGGGCGCACTGATACCGTGATAAGGCTTCTTTGTTTAGGGCAACAGGACAAGCTCCACTTCCACTCTCATGACAGAAAGTCCAATGCCTGCATGCTCCAGACTTTAGCTGTCTACGTGTCAGCTGTCGGAATGAGGGGATATCGACATTAGGAGTAGATCATTGGACACCACCCGAAAAAATGAACCGCACTAATGCAAAAGCTATCCCAAGCTAATTTTGCAGTAGATTCGGGTGTCAGAGCATCAAGCGGGGGTGGCCGGGCAAAGTGCTATCGATTTGATTCGTTGTGGTGGGTTTGCCTGGACGACCTCTGGCTGAGTCGTGAGATTTCCACCAAACGCAAACCAGCGCCCGGTAGAGCTGCAATTGTGTAAACTTCTCACTTTGGCAACGGCCATTCGATTTCGTGATCAGTTAGCCAACATCAGAGGACATCAAAATGCCTCTCCACCGCCTTGGCAGCGGTCTTGGGTGCACCTGGCCACCACCTGGAAACCCCTCAACGCCAACGACCTCCTTCCCCCTCCCCATCCGCATTCAAGTATACCACACTACTACCGCCAACTTTGTCTGGCATTTCACCGACCACGCCGATAGATCTACTTCGCTTAGACTGGGGGCGCCGGTCGCCAGCGCTGTAACTGGGACCGCTACCGCGATTTCAAAATTCAATCTCGCATTCAATCAGACTGTGGACAGGCATGAAAAGTACGAGCATCTCCATACTTATATTGTGACGCTTACAAGCGGGTATGTAGAGGATTGCTTGGAAATTATAAGTAGGCTCTAGTAAGAAGAGAGCTAGCAAAGAGAAGAGAGAGGAGCACAATAGGGTAAACTTGCGACCAGTGCACCTAAAGCTATTGAGCCTCATAGACCCGCCGAAGCCAAGCCCGGCAAGGATTCTGCAAGATCGCTAATCAGTGACGCTCAGCGTAAAAGTCTACAGCAATGCATCTTAAAAAGGTTGGGCTAAGAAGAGAGTCAGACGACGAAGGGCGAGCTAGTCACGGAAAGGAATGACGCACCAAAGCCAAATATTTAAAAAAATGAGCACAAATTATTCCACTACTCGGGATTCCTCAATGGAAAAAAAGGTAAAATCCCAGTTTATGAACGTCTGCTAATCAAACAGTCTTGGAGATATGATATCCCGAACAGGATAGAATAGTCCAGGCCATTCAAACTGGAGCACGGAGTAACGGTGGGCCAATCAAGTTTTGCAACATGCGATCTGGCTCACTCATGTAGATCTCGTCGTAATGTGTTAGGCCGATGTTAACAAACTGTCCATACTATCAGGCAGGGGTTATAATCGCAAGCTGAAATTTCTAGATTCTGCTGGAAGAATCCGTCGCAGACCATACAGTACCACTTTACTGTAGGCGAGCTTCTCGGCGACACGCTTCTTCAGGTCTGCTGGTGCCAATTCTTTGATGCCAAGCAGCTCATTATCCGTCACATCAAACGCGCCATCATAAATATCACTAGCGAGAGCGGTACCTTTCATCAGTTTCAAACGGGACATTGCTTCTCCCTGACTTGGTGAGGCGGAAGCTTACCAGACACTATTGTACCGCCGCTCCGGCGGAGACCCGGAAGATGCTCCATGCGCTTACTCACGGCCATCAATCTTCGAATATCTTCTACAGGACTGCACCGATACGATAATGATGATACAATACTTTCGCACACACATGAGGCCCGAGGAAGATATATGGGGCCTGATGATTTCCCGCGCTAGGAGTGCGCTCCTAATTACTCTAGGTCTCTCGGATGAGAATGAAGATCAACTGGAGCCGATCTACAAGATGTTGAAGCTCTCCACCATGCACCAGCACTTTTTTGGGTTCCAGCAGAGTTGGAGCGTGGATACACCAGATAAGCCGGAAGACGGAAAGGATACGGCAGTCAAGTGTCCTGTTTGTGAGGAGTTATTCGGTGTGATAGGTAGCGTTCGTCGGTTCAGTTGTTCTTATGATGAGGACGCGGATGACACCGGGCTTGGACCGGAGCTTCAATGGGGTAGCTGGCTCACTTACTGGCAGCATCAGGTCCAGAAAGGGCATGTGGTTTGTCCAAGGTGGGGGAGTTCTCGGATGTTTAGTGCGTCGTCGTCCAAGCAAGACCGGTCGCGGAGTCTGCTCTCAACTGTTGTGATTTAGGCATCTTCACGGGTTAGTAAAGGATATGACGTTAATTATAGGGCTCGCTCTGTTTGGCGAATGGGGATCGAGATGTTTCGTAACGCTGGGTAACCTTAACTTAAGTCCCGTTCTTCGATAATGGATACCTGGCACTCTATTCACCCCCTGGCCCATCTCTTTTGGCACCGCCTCTCTGGTTTACATATGCATACCTAGTCCCCAAAACAAACTTCTCTCACAGTAAAACGAGCCCAAAAAGTCTGCTCAGAATCAAGAGAAAACCGCCCCTGGATAATCACCTTCACAGCCATAACTCTTTCTCACTTTGCGTAAATGATGTCTAGTATAGAAGTCCTTCATTTTGAAGAAACGTTCCGTAATGCTCAAGATCGTCACTGGAAAATCGCCAGATGTTGCCGGAGCCGATTGCCTCTTGGATCTAATTCACTCCATCAGATCAACTCGGCCGATGTGCATGTATGCCATAGCCTACCTGCTCCAAAGAATGGCTCTCGGCCTGGAAGAAATGATGGTCGCGTGCCCAGGTACTGATGTAACCTTCATGCCAAAGGTGGAGGTTGTTTTCCGTCATAAAGTCGTCTGGAGTGAAGGCTTTGCCATCGAACCAGTACAATTCCTTGTCGGAACACTGCACAATCGACCACATCCCCATGGTATTTCCACGCCCACCGCGAGTGAAGAACATGGTGACAGAGGACCAAGCTTGTCTGTCTTTTTTTCTTTTCTTGAGGAGAGATGGAAGGGCATGTAGTTGTAGTCTGTCTCACCTCAGCCAAGTTAGAATGGAATTCACTGGTTGTTCCCGAGAAAATGCGCTGAATTTATAGCTTCAAACCGGGAGACGGATGGCAGGAACCGCTACGGTGTACGCGATTCTGGATCGTCTCCACGTCTTTATTTTTAGATTTGTCTCTTTCTTCTACACCTGACCGTTGTGCTTGGTCTTTTGAATGGCGTACATTTTCCCCCACTTCATCCAATCGTGTCTCTGGCGTGGCCACCACGGATGGGGCCGTTTAAGCTCCTCACTTCAGCTCCCCCACACAGGGGCCTATGGGGGTTAGATGGGTCACTTATCAGTGGGCCTTCATTGTATTCACTCTATCTGATAGATTCTCCGTCTGCCTAGTGACATTGATGAGGCCGTGCGATCTCATCTTCAGCTGGCCAGTACATAGTATAGAATACGTAGACTGGGTAGAAACATCCGGAGGTAAATTTATCTTGCCCGACATTACGAAATGCCCGTTAGTGAGGATGATCGGCGCCCGCGAAGAGTGCAAGGAGGCCACTCATCGTTCGCATTCTCCAATCTAGCAATATCCTACACCACCCCGGCTGAGTAACCGGAGACTAATCACCGTCTCAAGATCCTCATAGCGCAGCCCTCGTTCCCGGTCCCGCGCCAGTAGATGGGCGGCTTTGAGGATGTTCTTGATCTGCCGTCCATTTAGCTTGATCTCCTCCAGGCTGTCAAAATGCGCTTCTGTGAAACCCGTATTTTGATCAAGGAACTGCACCCAGGAGGAATTTCCGCCGCTCCTGATTGGCTCGCTTGATCACCCGCCTCCAGGCCCACCACCAGCCGTCAGGTGCGCCGGGCGTACTTAAATGCTACCTAGTACTAGGTAGTTAGGTAAGTCATAGTTCTATCACTGGGGCATAAAAGCAAAGAGGGAGGTTCCATCCCACCCTTTCCATGCTCTTTCCACCCAAGAATGGTCCTTGCTGGAGAAGCCCAGTCTGACTGAGCTCCCTTTCAGCCAAAGACCAAGCCTGCTGTGGCTGCGCCACAGATTCGGCTGGAAAGTGGATTGGTGGCGTTACGCCCTGGCTGCACTAAGCGAACTATTGAATTGTGGCTGATGTGCTGTATCTGTATTTTGGCACACTGTGACTCGTTTTCTATTTGGAGGCAGCGAAGCCTCTAGAGATGTAGATCTAGGCCGGCTGAAGGATTGAAGGGTGCCCACAGCGGTTGTGCTATTGTATATTTTGACAGATGTGGGATTAAAACAGCTATCTGTACCGTTAAGACAGAAAGGGAGAGAAAAAAAAAAAAGAAAGAAAAGGAGGACAAAGGAATCCGGGGGATACACTAGCGGCATTCAAGCGATCAGTCGGAGCTGGTTGAAGGTGGAGATAACTCCTCGGAGCAGGAACAGATAGTTTCTTAGAGCTGAGACCATTTCTGCAGCTGTCGGTGGCGGGGCAATCAACCGCAGGGTTCCATTACAGATTGCAGCTTTGGAACGCACCCACAATCTGTTAGACTGAGATGACAGTCTTGAGTCCCACCTACACTAAGCGATCAGACCATTGCAACAAGAATTCGAAGAAGGGAGGGAAGCTGACCGTCTCCGCAGAATTGATTCAAAACTACGTGCAGGGCGAGATGACCTACCCAACAGGGGAGATTGAGACCCTACAGACTGGCGATGGCCACACTCTGCTCTTTGGAATTGACTTGTCCGGGGTCCTTCACGTTATTGAAGAGCAAAGCGGGACATGCCATGCGGGATGGCACGTACATGACCTATCGACGGCGGCGATCCAGGCGCAATTCCTAAGCGATGCGTCCCGAGCGGTCGTCCGCACCTTCGACGTGGGGCAGATGCGTTGGATGGGACGATTGGCCTGATGATGGCCGTTCATCTGGATGGAAATGACCATCTCTTCCACTGCCTGAACAACCCTAACCAGGATCTCTCCTGGACCGCGTGCCCAGCATGGACGATGGTGCCATTCGCCAATGAGACAACCCGTGCGATCACGATCGCCGGGGCCATGTTTGCAGAGATGTGGGAGAAGAGTCCGTTTCTTGTGGTCGATGTCGAGCGAACTCACTCGCAATCGGCCTCCGAAGCCCAGATCGTGCGATATCATATCGACACTGCCCACACAACCGGTCACTTCTGGGTCAAGAAGGATGTAACGATTGATTTAGCGACCGGAGCCTATAAAAGTGTAGTAGGTCAAGTGCGCGGAAAGCCGTGGTTGGCATCTACAGTGCAGGGACTACTGGGGGCCAGCCGCAAATGGTGTGCGAGCCCGTCATTAACGCCTACGGGGATGGTCCGGTCATCCCGCGGCGCTTGCGACTCCCAGGGGAAGCCATTCCCACGGCGATTGCTACCGCCCGGTATGCCACCGATCACAGTACAGACCTCTACTGCGTCGGCGGCTCGACCCTGTGCCGATTTGCGGCGGACCAACAGAGCGAGGCGATGGACCCGCTAGCTCTCTGCACGAGCGAGTTCCTGGTGGGCACCGACACCCTGCGGGCGATGACCCACGGAGGCATAACGACCCTCTGGGGGCGCAATCAAAGCAATCAGGTCTACTACCTGGCGTGCCGCACCAGCCAGCTTTCCAAGCCCGCCGCGTGGAGTATGCCCTTTCCCATCCTGTCCGGCATTGAGCGTATCTCAGCCTACATCAATTGTGCCGATGGGGGGAGAACCATTTTGCTGCCGACAACGGGAGGCTCCAGAAAATTGTCCAGGGTTCCCCCGCTACGGGGGGAGTCTGGATGGCCCAGGATATCACCGTGGCTGCAGCACCCGACCAGCCATGCACGAGCTTTCGCTCGTACACCACGACCATCCATGTCACGGAGCTCAATTCGAACGCGCCAGTGCCCAAGGCGATGGTGAAGCTATCCGCCAGCAGCCGCACCCCGGTGTTCATCAACGGACTCTACTACGTCCTGTCGGCAACTGTCCCCGTCCAAATTCCCGCGGACCCTTCGGGGGTCCTGACCGTGATTGAGGCCACCAACGACAGCCTGCAAGCGACCGTGCTGACTGTCACACTGGAGAACACCACTCTGACCACTAATCCCGCCGACCAGACCATGGCCAGGATCACCGCGTTGGACTCTGCCGAGAAACTCCGCGGCGCGCAGGTCCCGACGCAGACCGTCGCTGGCGGTGTTGACGGAGCGTCCACGTACACCTCCCTTGTCAGCCCTCGGCGGCGGTCGTGCAGAGCATGGGCGTGCTAAGGGACGCCTATGCCAAGGTCCGGGTTCCTGCTCAGACCATGATGTGCCAGTCTCACGGGGCACTCATGCTTCGCACCGCAACCACGTCCGCGACGAAGACACTCAATCTGAATTTCTTCGGGGATTTGTGGGACGGAATCGGCGCGATCGCTGGGATATAAAAGAGATTCTGGGTACCATCGGGGGCGCGCTGTCGGCCGCCTGGGGAGACACCTGGCAGTGGATGAAGAATGTCGGGAAGACGCTGGGCCGGATTGTGGTCGACGCAGCCACGGGCGCGATGCAGCAGCCAGCTGGCCGTGTTCAGCGATCTGCAACAGATGATCTTCGCGCCCGGCCACGCCCTCGCGGGCCTCGCAGGCGTCATCCTCGGCTCCGCGAGCACTTTCGAGGCCGAATGCGAGACGGGCAGCAACCCCTTTTTCATCCCGGGGGTTGTCCTGGCCATCACCAGCGCTGCCCTGCAGGGCGCCACCAACTTCCTCGCGCCGCACGACCCCATCGCCAACAAGGTCGTCAGTGACAGCACTTGGGGCCTCCTCGCTATCCGGATCGCCGGCAAGGTCTTCTTCGCCGTCAAGGGCCCCAGCGAGCCCGTCGCCCCCGCCAATGTCGGCAAGCTGGTGATGAGCAACGCCCGCGGCGTGAGCGCCATGATTGACGCGGTGCTAATCCTCCCGGATATCGCCATCACCGGTGCCACATCGGCGAGCTGGCCCAGAAGCCTGCCGGCAAGGTCAAGTCCGCCACCATTCTGGAGAGTGCGGGAAAGTGGCATCGTGGATCTCGCGGGCCGCCTACGCCATGGCGCTGAACGACCCCGAGCCGGATTCGAAGAAGATCGCAGTGGGGTTGACGGGGCTGGCCATCTGGGTCGCTGCTGGGTTCCAGTTCGGGGAGGCGGAGTGGTGTTGATCTCATGAGGGTTTTAACGGCTGAAGGAAGGTCCCGGAGAGGGGGGGGGGGGGGTTGTTGTAATGTGAACGATCTCTGGAGGATGGATCAGTTGATGGAAAAGGACCAAACCCTGCACTTTCTCCTCGCGGGATATTCCTCACTTTCTTTATTCCTTATGTTCCCTTTCATATACCGTAGTGGCTGATCTAAAAAGATAACTCTCGTATACTGACTGGTTCTCGCTTGATCTCATTCTTCCTGACAAAAAGCTTCCCTGCATATGGACCCCGACTTCTCGCCGTTGTTTAGGGCAAACCACTCAAACACACACACACACGTTCCGCAACTAAGCTGTAGCGATGGGCTTGCATCTTCCTTTCTTTTGTTTTGTTGAGAGACAGGGCATGACGGCCCGGTTTCTTCCTCTCAATCTGATAGACAACAGACAGGGTGTATTGATAATGAGGGGACTGTCAAGGACCATGCTTGTTCCGAACATTGGTGTATGGTGAATGCTGGATATGTACGCTTCTTTCCCCCCTCCTTACTGTAAGCCCTGTTTGACACTCTGCAAGTCCATTCGCAGCATTTGCTTGGCCGATCAGATTAAACGAGTTGGCTGTTGTGGTCGATATACCGGAGGAGATCTCCAAAAGCCAGAACCTTCTAGTATTTAGGCTGGCGAGGGCCTGCGGCCTCCCAGGCTGCTCGCTCACCGGGCCTTAGCTAGTTCTACAAATAGCCTCACATAGTGAGAATCAAGTCTCTTCCACCTCTCGGAGACGTCATCAAATACTACAGTACATTTAGATAGATTTAGCCTGTACAACACATGTCCATCGGGGCATTGTGGTCGTAATTAACTTAAGAACAGGTAGAATAAAAAGAAAGTCAAAGGAGTAAGCTGGAGTAATATACAATGGGGCACGGATCACTCCACCCTAACCTCCACCTCCATCACCTTTTGGATCTGCAGCTGGTATCCTCCCCCCTCGCAGCCTGCAATCTCCCCCTGCTCTCCCATCCGGCCCTTGGGCGGAGACGAAGCCACTGCTGCTCCATCAGAAGCAGCAGGCCCGTGACCATGACTATGCCGCCCGCTCCCATTGCTTCCCCTCTTGTTACTCTCCAGCGAGCTGCTATCCCCGCTGTGCTCAATTGTCGTCGTCACCATCACCGCATTATCCCACGGCCGCTCCTGATATTGATCCGCCGCGCGGTTGTGGTGGTGCTGACCCAGCTCCAGGAACTCCCCGGCTTGGTCGTCCGTCTCAGAGGGAAGCATGCGGCTCTGGTTGCGCTGTGTGCGGCGGACCCCGCTCATTAGCCCGTACGAGCGCGAGTGGTTGTTCAGCGTCTGGCTCCCCGAGACGCCCGCGGTGCGCTTGCGGCGGCGGGTCCGATAGCTAGAGGAGAGGGTGGAGGCGAAGGCGTGGAAGTAGGGGCCGTAGGTTGGGATGCAGGCGATGATTACCTGGTCGTTGTGTTAGTAGTCCGTTTTTCTTTTTTTTGGTAGAGACGAATGGCAGGAGGGTAAGAGCCCGGTTAGGGCATGGTAAGAGCCGGGTCGGGTAATAGGCGGGATGAGAGCATACTCCCAGACTGATCTCCACGTCCGACCAGAGGACAATCGGCTGGCTGTCCGTGTAGGTCTTGAGATTCTTGATGGTGAAGATGCGGATGATCTGGATGATGGTGATGAAGAAGCCGAGGGCGAAGATGGCGATTAGGGCTACCTATTGTTTTATTCCGGGGGTCAGCATCGGGCGACAAGGTTGCACTGGAAAAAAACAAGAACCTTCTGCGTATGGCGGAGTTGTAAGGTCCAGAGGACTGGAAGAGGGAGAGCGATGATCACAATATCGAAGCCGAGACTTGTTCCTGTATTATGGTGTACATGGTTATGGACTCTGTTCTGAAAACGTGGGGAGAGGGACGCCTGTACCAGCCAAGGCTGTTTGTTGTTATTGTCAGTTCCCATGATACTGATTATATCCAAATTGTGGGATGGTTTACCTACCGTAGTATGAAGCTACCGTGTCGATGCATGTGCCGGGAATACTCGAGTCCCATTGCTTTGCGACCTGATGCCATGTCAGCGGAAGCTATCAGCACATAGGAAGCTATGTGCGAAATGTGTGACGTACCGGTTGACAGGCCAGAGTCAAGAGGAGTGTAAAGACCAGCTGGTTGCATGTCACCGCGCCGGTCACGGCGATGATAACCCATCGGTATGCGGCCACAAACCCTCCAATTCGTAGGTAGGAGGTCAAAAGCGAGACTTTAAAGAAGAGGAGCGCAAGGATGTATAACGGACCGCCAGCATATTGGATCTGAACGAGTCAGTCACTGCCAACCACAGCAGCTAGAAAGTACGAACCTTACTGAACATCACTACATTGGCGTCCGGGAAAGAGGCTGCGTCCAATCCAAGCCCATACCGTGTCTCTACACAGTGAAATCGACCGTCAGTTCTTGTCGAGAAGGATTTACACCTGGGAGAAGGAGAAAAGCGTACGAGCCACTGAAACTCCGGCATAGCCTAGACCTAACAACGCACTGCATATCGCCGCATAGTCATCGAGCCAGAGGTCGCGCTTGGTGTGTAACCGGATGTGAAGCCGTAGCAGCACGGCCAGTAGGGCACTAATGCTGAAGGTCAAGCAGATCGCGATGACCCGGGCAACGTGGCTGTGGGGGTCCGGGTGGGCGAGGTTATGGACCCAGGGCATGGCATTCCTGTTAATGGGGCAGACAGGGGTGGTGAAGAATCGACGACCAGGATCTTGTAGATAGTGCAATGCACATCAATCAACAGAGACATATCATGCAAGGTGGGAAGGCCCGAACCCTGGGGTATAATCACCGTCCCTTATTTTTCGTTTTTTAATTTTTTCCTTCTGTTCATGCTGCTTCGAGAATTTCTCGGTTCTTCCGGCTAGCAATCGGCACGTTCGGAACCCCCCTGTCCAGTAGGTAATAGGTTAATATGCACGAAGTCAAATCCAAGACATCGGCTACATTGGCACTGCACCATTTCCGAGGCCATAGACGCCATGGTGCATTCGACTGAGACTAACGCAGTACTATCGTGCGCGTTGTGGGGCGCCAGCACGGGGGAACCGGACCGCGCATCTCGCCAGCGGGGGCACTGTCCAGTCGGTCAATAAACGTGGAGACTAACGACTTAAGCGAGATGGTTTGAGATTGAATGTAGATTAACTGCTTATCTATAACAAGGATAGTTTGAATAGTCTAGGCAACCGACCGAGTTTTCCGACCATGAAGAAAAACGGCAAGAATCCTGTTCGGAAGGGCAATGGCCTGATAGCAATCATATTCCTAGCCCTAGATCAAGCACAAATATTACGCTGCATAAGAACGGAGTCGATGTAGGAACAGGCAAGGGGGTGTCCCACTTGGTGTCATTTTCGACAGCCAAGCCTCGGAAGCGTCGGGATATAAATTGGCCTCGTCCACCCCCCCTGTCGCTCACAGGAAGATCGTCTTCAAGCAGAGCCGGATCATCTCGCAATCGTCATGCCCTCAGCCACCTTCTGGACCAGCTTGCTGGCCCTCACGGCCGCCGCTACGGCGAGCCCCCGCGGCCCCCGAAGCACCAACAATTCCACCAGCTGCCGCTGCTTTCCTGGCGATGCGTGCTGGCCCTCCATCAGTGAATGGGCCAAGTTGAACCAGACGGTGGATGGCCGTCTCATCAAGACTATTCCCCTCGGCAAGCCCTGCCACGCGCCTGACTATGACGCCGCAGTCTGCGACGCCCTCAAGGAGGAATGGACGGACCCTGAGCTTCAGTAAGCCACTGCAACTTTGACTTGACCCCCTTGCGTCTCCCCATCAGTATCAGCTGCCCCTTACTGACCCGTGCGATATCCGACCTGCAGTTACCAATCCAGCAGCTCGATTATGGCCCCATGGTTCACCAACGGCACTTGCGACCCGTTCCACCCGGTTTCCAAGCCCTGCACGATGGGCAACTACGTCGACTACGCTGTCAACGTCTCGACCCCGGCCCATATCTCGGCCACGTTGAAGTTCGCCTACGAGCACAACATCCGCCTGGTGATCCGCAACACAGGTCACGACTACAACGGCAAGTCCACCGGTGCCGGCGGACTGGGCGTCTGGACGCACAACCTGAAGTCGCGGACACTGGTGGACTACAACTCGACCCACTACACCGGACCGGCTGTGCGACTGGGCTCTGGTGTACAGGGCTTCGAGGCGTACGAGTTTGCTGATGAGCACGGCTACCAGGTCGTGGGTGGCGAGTGCTCGTCCGTTGGCATTGCGGGCGGCTACTCGCAGGGTGGCGGCCACTCGGCGCTGTCCTCCAAGTACGGCATGGCGGCAGACCAGGTGCTGGCTTGGGAGGTTGTCACCGGCGCCGGAGAGTTCGTGACTGCCACCCGCGACAACGAGTACAAGGACCTGTATTGGGCCCTGAGCGGTGGCGGTGGTGGCACGTACGGCGTGGTCGTGGCCATGACTTCCAAGCTGCACACCTCAACCCCGACCTCCGGCCTCAACCTCACCTTCACCAACGACGGCATCTCCCAGGACACCTTCTTCGAGGCGGTGACCCTCTACCATACACTCCTGCCCAGCATCGTCGATGCCGGAGTGATGAGCATTTGGTACTTCACCAACAGCACCTTCTACATCTCCCCCCTGACCGGACCTGGTGTCCCCGTCGACACTCTCCGCTCCCTGGTCGAACCCTTCGAAGCCGGCCTGACCAAGCTGGGAATCCAGTACACCCTCACCGCGAAGGAATTCGACACCTACCTGGAGCAATTCAACACGATGGAAGCCGAGATCGCCGTCGGCAAGGCCCAATACGGCGGATGGCTGATCCCGCGGGAGGTGGTGGAGCAGAACACGACCGCGCTGACCGAGGCCTACCGCGCCATCGTCGAGGATGGGGCGACCTTCATCGGCGTCGGACTGAACGTCAACCGCACCGTGGCCGGCGACGTCGACAACGCGGTCCTGCCCGCCTGGCGCGAGGCCCTGATCGACACCACCCTGACCACCCCCTGGGAGTGGGACGCCCGCGCCGCCATGATCGAGGAGCAGGACAAGATGACCAAGGACTACATCCCGCGGCTGCAGGCCTTGGCCCCCAACTCCGGCGCCTACATGAACGAGGGCAACTTCCAGCAGCCCAACTGGCAGAAGGCCTTCTACGGCGTCAACTACGACGCCCTGCTGCAAATCAAGAACAAGTATGATCCCTACGGGCTGTTCTACGCGCGTACCGCCGTTGGCGCGGACGCGTGGACTGAGTCGGCGGATGGGAGGTTGTGCCGCGCTTAGTGGATTGTATGGTATGTCGAGATGGAGAGTCGAGAGTCAGAACAAGTGTATTTTCAGATAGATTTAATATATTCTGCAGATTTTATGCATTGTACTCGGACTGGATTCAAGGACGTACACAGTAATCATAATTGTTGCACCGATGGATTTTAAGCCACAGAGCATGATAGATGAGGGTACTCGGTTGCGTCACGTCACTAGTGACAGTACCTACAGCCAGTCGTGCTCCATTTTGTTATAACAGTCTACAGACACATGAACGATACTATAGTAATACTCCAGCATGATAGAAAATAAACGACCTCGTCCTACTACGGAACATACTATATGAAATCTACTTCCCGTGGTCAAATCACATACGACCACAGGGTGTGGAAAATAGGGCTTCCCGTCCGCTCAGCCGTACTCAAGCCACACGCCGGGAGGTTAGTAGTTGGGTGGGTGACCACCAGCGAATCCCTTCTGTTGTATGTTTTTGCTGTTTCACGTTAACCTTTTTTACTTTACTGTACGTGTGTATTTACTTACGTATGTATCTTGAAACTGTTTTAGGTTTTAGGTTCCTACTTTCGTTGTTGGAGTCTTTCCTTCGAGAATCAGCAAGACATGTCACATAAACACAACCCGACGTCCACCCGGGGCCATTTCGAACCCAGTGATCGTTTCACTTTGCGACCCTTTGCAAGATGCGAAATAACCCACCCAATCTCTACGCAGCCAAAGCGGTGGGCTCATAAACATGAGCTGCTGCATGTCAAATGGATCAATGAGATGAGTCGGGTACAAGTCAGGTTGCCTGGCTGAGACAAGCCACTTCCATAAGTCTGGGCTCACAACGGGATATGTGTCACTGTGCGACAATCTTTGGGGGTCAATTCTTCAAGACTTACCGCTAGCTGGGGGTAGCTGATTGGTTTTCAGGTTGACGTATAATATATCGGAGGTCGGAAGGTGGTAGGCATGCATACTCCGAGCGGGAATGGGGCGACGGGAAGAGACTGTTTCAGAGGTCAGCCCAGAAGGAAGCCTTCAGACAACGGTGACCCTGTTTGTGACCCTGTGTGTTGGCATCTCTTAGTTGCCTTCTGCTACCGTTCTTCGCAATTCGAGCAACATATAGGTAGTACCTAAAGCTTGTAGTATGTGATATGGAAATTTTTTGCTCCGATGTTCGGGGACCGGCTGTAATGGAGTAATATTTGCAGTAGACTGGTGTAAGTTGCACGAGGATTTAGGTAATATCCAGGTTCTGTATGAGTCCCAGAGGCGTCCATCAATCTCTGCTGGCTGTAGATTGAACTTAAGTGAGATTACTCAGGAGCTTGGTCTAATTAGTCTAACTACTACTGACCCATTTATTAATGCAGTAATGAGCTCGACCCCACCGGCTAAAGTTATTAGCGGGAGATGAAGAAGCCCGACGGCTACGGACCCTGCTTATAGGGCTGAATTTTAGCTGGATGGATGAATTTGAACGCCTATAATGTATAGTATATACATACGGTACAGTACTAATGTATATAGCCAAGTCGGTCCAATGAGGATCATAGATCCCCTGCCTTATTTAAGGCCATTGCGCAGATTTCTCTGCATTATTGGATTGTGTATGAATGGAGCTTTAATTATGGCTTTGCATACCTTATTGATGCAGTTTACTGAGTGGGTATGACTATTGTGCTGTACCCTGCTTAATTTGCTATATTGTACGTTGTTGTGTATAGGTGGCCTGATTCCAGAGCTACTTGATGCCCGGTCTTGCTGTAAGGTCCACCAGACCATTGCCTCAACAAGACGGGAGCTCACTAGTAACCAGCACGCTAAAGACAGAATCACAGGGAGTGGGTACGGAGTACTTGAGATGAGCAAAACTCTCCGAGTCGGACGAATTTGTACATGAGACGCATCTACAGGTACCACTGCGTGCGGTATAAGTACCGTCTCGATTGACTCCTGTCCTGCGTTTTGTTTTTCTCTCTCCACTCTCCATCCCTCACAAGCCTCGAACCACTACCTCCCACAGCAAAGGGTTTCAAGTCTCGCACTTGTTCCCCGTCCAAAAGACTCTTAACATGCAGCTCAAGCTTCCCACCCTTCTCCTGGCCCTCGGCCAGATTGAGGGGGAACAAAATCATTTACTTCAAGAAGACAGGTGCTTGAAGAAGAAGGGCTCTGAAGCCCAAGGGGTGGCTATGTATATGCCGTAGATACACTCTTTTATTCTTTTGGCAACAAGGAACAGTACGGTATACAACCACCAGACGATCACCCTACGCAATCTCCGTCGACAATGCCAAAGTTTCACTCTCTTCGGGGAACTGAAAAGTCATCAAGATAACCATGGGGGTGGTATGGTTTCGTGGTTGTTTTCGGACCATCCTTGACCTTCAGTATGCAATGCATATTGCTCTAGAAGAAAAGAAAGAAAGAGTCACCTCCCGGCGACCGATCTTCCCGATCCGTACGAAGGTACACTTGCCCTACCACGGTGACGGGACTTTCGTCTCGAACATTCTCGAGGTCCCTCGACTTACATTGGAACTATAAGGTTCCGCGCTACTGCAAAGACTCATGCTGTGTATGCCCTGTCGCATAAGATACACCTCTGCGTTAAAATAGATCTCATCAAATGGTAACCACAAGGCACACAAGGAAAGAAGAAAACAAATGTATGTATATCAAGTTCGAGGCAAAGAAAGAAAGATATCCCTTAGTAGTATGTACAAGCCAAGTGCCCGAGCGAAGAAATCTGCAGTTTTATCGCTTTTGGAGAAAGATACTCGCAGATTAAATGTCACAGAATGGCAGATGGCAATTTCTCGGACGCCGCTGTTATGCAAAAGAATGAACCACCACCCCCCGGAATGACAGCCATCCACCTAAAACACGACTTAAGAACAGCTGTCTTGTTCTGCTAGGGTACAAGAATATGAAACGCGATCCTAGTTCTGAGCGTTGACCAACGCGCATCCCGAAACCTCGGTTTAACGTAATAAGCATGCTGACATGATCCCATTGAGCCGTATCTTGGAGGTAGGAAGGAAAAGAAAAGGAAAAGAGAAGAAGAAAAAAAGAAGAAGAAAAGAAAAGGAAGAAGAAAGAGAAGGCTAGAAAGAAAGGATCGACTTTATACATCATTTCACCCCAGGTGAGGTCTGTCGTTTAGTAGTATCGTTAAATCATAGGCCATACACAGGCACAAACCCCACTGCATCACGTGGTAAACATCAACCTCAAGCGACTCGACCGCTTCGTCTTCTCCTTGGGTTTTTTGGCCTCCGACTGATGCCGGGCCTCCGATTTGGATGAGGTGTGATGCGACGAAGGCGCTTTAGAGCCCACATACGACTCCGGGGGCCGGTGGTCGGCCCGTGATCTCCCGCCGCTGCCGCTGTGGTGGTGCGAGCGCGACCGCCGCGACCGCCGCGAGGAGGCCATCGAGCGCTCCTCATCATCATCAAACTTGAAGCGCGGGTCGCGGGTCATCCGCGCTGTCGTGACATCGATTCCCGACATCATAGCGGCGGTCGGGGTGATGAACTCGCCATCGACAGATGTGCCGGCGCTCTCGGCCTCAGCGTCGGCCACCCCGCGGCGCCACATCTCGACGCTGCTCAGGCAGTCCGTGTTGAGCTCCATCATGTCCTCCATGCTGGGCTCGTCCATTGCCCCGTCTCGGGGGTATTGTTGTGGGTATGGTTGTTGCTGTGGGGCAGCTTCAATCACCGGAGTCTTCGATGCTGATTGGATCTGCTTGATGATCTTGTAGCCGCCGAACATGACGATCGTCACACCCAGCCCCACCCCGGCCGCGATGAGGAACTGCGGACTCGCGAGCAGCGCGAACACACTGGGTGCGGCGGCTTTGAGCGCCCCGAGCGCCGAGGGGGCTAGCTTGGTGACCAGGTTGCTGATCTCCGCGAGCGTGAGCGCGACAGCCGCCATGGAGTCCGGGTTCTTCTGCAGGTGGGCGATGGTCGCGGTAGCGGTGTGTTGCATGCAGTCGGCTTCCTCGAGGAGCCACTGCGCACGGGTGACGAGACCGTTCAATTCGGGGTCCTCGATGCGTTGCAGTTGGCCTTGTTGGTGTGGGACCAGCTCGCCCTGGCGGGGCTGCTGCTGCTGCTGTTCCAGTGCGGAAGGGTGAAACTCGCCGTAGGCCAAGTCCATATCCACATGGGAGTGGGAGGGGTGATCGGACCGGGAGCGGACCGGAACCGGCCGTTCCATCTCCCGCACGCCCACGTCGTGGTGCGTGTGTCGTCGCACCATCTCGCGGGGCTGGTTGTAGTAGTCGTCGTCAACATCTTCCTCGTACAGGGACCCCCCGCGGGGATGGTGGCTGCGACTGCGGCCCGAGTAGTGTCGTGAATGACTCCGTCGCGACGATGCAACGGATGGGGCCGCGTCGTACTGGTAGTGTTGGTCACCCCCGTCAATGTGGTAATTCTGTAATGCCTTCAGGGCTTCCCTCTCCGCAATCTTGGCATTCCGCTCGGACTGCACTTGGGCTTTGCGTTCCCGGTAGGCATTCTTGGCTTGGCTGAATACCCCAAAGAGATGTTTACTCTGTGACCCGCAGGGGAAAGAGGTCAGTCCCTTATCGCGAAGAATTGTGGAGAAGCAAGCGCATACGTACCGTGCTAACCACCTTCCCGGACTTATCAATCACCGCGATGGTCTCGCCCAACGGGGCCATGGTTGGAGTTGTGCTTCAACTCGGGACTTTTGTGTCAAAGTGTATGGGGATTCAGCACGACTGGGATGTCGACGAAGAAGCAACGCCCAGCTCGACATTCAATTCTGGCCGAAGCTCCAACTTTTTAATGATGGGTGGAAATTCCGGCAACAAGGGGCGGGGGAATGGACGTCAGACGAGCGGTGTAGCGCAAGACTAGTTGATAGTGTCTGGATAGTTGGGATCCTCAGTGGGGAGGAATGTCTTTGGCCCCGATCTTGGCTCGGATTGTGGGTATCACCGAGCGCACTGAGTTGGACCAGGTTGAAGTAGGAGTGTGGTTGATTTGGTTATAAGGTACGAGCGATAGTTGTCAGGTAGGTAGGTATGAATGGCGAAGTATACCTCCGATGGCAAAATATCAACAAAGACAGCTGAATCAGTGCAGTCCAGGCCAGCTGGTGGAGGGGGATGGAACGATGATCACGAGCAACGGCAAAGCCCTCGCAGTCCCGATAAGCGGCGGCAAGCGGCGGGATCGAAATGCAGTTTAAGGCGCTAGGAGGTAGTACGGAGAAAACGAGAAAGCCACGCCACCCAAAGGAGTTATTTCGCGACCGATAGGCAGGGCAAAGCAGAAAGAGTCAAGGCAACCATATAGGAAAATTGAACAGGATTACAGAAAAGTGAATCTGAGGGGGCTGGGACGGAATTTAAAATCATAGGACGCAATGACCCCAGGCGGCGCCTAGGCGATGGGATGGGCATAAAGCAACGAACGGGAGCAGCGATCACCGCATCCCTCAACCCGGCGGTTGGGTGTCGATGAAGCCAAGAGCAAGGCAGCAGGCGGGTTGGAGAATAGGCTTGAATGGCTGCATGGATCGCTGGAGTGTTGTCACTGCCTAAGGTTGACTGACGTGTGGATGGATGGAGAAAATCAGGGCCATGTCATCCGGAGTGTCAGTGCTGTGGCTCCATCCGAGGTTAATTGTACCGGTACCTGACGTGGAGAGGAGTTTGCTGTCTGGTCGAAGTACCACGTTGTACTGAATTGTTCCAAGTGTGCTAACATCCGGACATGGTGGATGGATTGTGACTGATGAGCGAGATCAATGGATTCAATAAGGGTATCCTGAATAACCTGCTTCTCTACTCAACTCCACTGCTACTGCTTTATCCATGCTGAGAAATTCCCTGTTCCATGATGGAAGCTGGGAAGTGATGCGACCGGACTAGAGAGGGCTAAGAGCGCTAGACAGGGACTAGAAGGAAGAATTTCGTCGCCTTGCGAACCCCTCTTCTAGCTTCCTGCCTGAGGGGCAGGGCGAGGTCAGAATGGCGGTGATGCACTGGTCGCCCATTGGTCCGCCATTCTACTGCCACAGTGGCTGAGATCAACAGGTGGCGGTGTTTGCATCCGCACAGTTGGCCTGGGCATCGCCGTATCTGCGTTCTTTACAGCGTAGATCCCGGCTATGGCGATTGCCTACCGATCTATACAGCAAATAGAGAAGACTCTTATATTCAAAAATATAGCGCGCTGTTCTTCATATCAGAAAGAGTGACTGAGCAATGGATAGCTTAAATTTGTATTAAATCTAATGGTGCTCTCTTGGCAGAACACTGGCACAAAAGCAAGAGAACAAAAGAGAGCAACACTTTCTTCGGATTGTGTAAGATTTAAAAGGAACGGATGGCGCGAAAGTATTTGACCTTTTCCCTTGACCCCACCGGAAACTGGAATGCTTCCCACCGCCTTCTCAAACCATACTTACTGCCACCACCTCTCTTATCTTGTTTTCGGGGCCTTAGGCCGCAATCACATCCACAAGCCTGGCAACCTTGGGTCAGGTTCTGACTATTGCACAATCATCAGACATGTCCATCTACACAGCAGCTCTGGAATAGTCTCAATTTGCTCATGCGCAAGCCGAAGCAGATACAAAGAGCTGCCACACCCGATAAGCTGAACGACCAGGACACGCAGATTTCTAGCAATAGTCGACCGCCGCAGAGTCTCTACCGTACACCAAGATGCCCCACTACAACTCCTAGGGACCCTCTTATCTGGTGTTTATCTTTTCATGGCGACGCGATGGTGGTGTCATGTGTGGCCCGGGCACTGGACTTTTGGCAAAATACTATATCCTTCTCGCCATGGCATACCGTGGTGTATTTACTCGATAATATATATCGCCGGCGTTCTTGCTGTCATTCTAGTGATCCGCTGCGATTCACCAGGCGAGTTTACATCCACCTAATCAAGTCAGGTTTAACCACCAAGGGTTTGAGAATCGTTCCATTTGACCCCTCCCTAAGCTTCGTCCTTATCGCTACATAAGTAAACATATCAGTGCACCTCAAGAGGACACCACGGATGACAGGCCGCGCACACGGACCCATTCGGTGCGACGATAGCCGACCGGCAACATCGCGATCTGATAAGAAGCACATCGTCGCTACGATCGCCACATGGAAGCGAAGCTACACCCTCCCAGCTGGGGAATACGCCACCATTCAGAACAAAGGTCATAACAAAGGTCATACCATTAAATATATCAACAACCTTAACACAATTTTAACGCACATATTATTAACCACATAAAGCTATACCCCCAAAAGTCTAATCACGGTACTCATCCCCCTGATCCGCCTGCCCGCTCCCATCCGCCTGGGCCTCAGGCTTCTTCACAAACTTCAGATCCGACAGCCCATACAGCGCGATCGATCCCATGCCCAGAAACGCGCTCAACACTGTGAAAACCATCGACACGATACCGCGGGTGGTGAAGCCGTCCGGAATCCACCCGGGCTGCTTGTTCTGGCCCTTGAGATCGAGGTAATCCTCCGTGTTGGCGGCCGCGTTGCCCACGTACGGGATCCCCGAGGCGTTGCACGCGGCATAATGGTCCTGGGGGATAGTGAGCTTCTCCTGGATGAGAAGGGGCGCCTCGACGAAGGTCATGGCCAGCCCTTGCATCAGATGCCAGTCGATGTGGCAGTGGAAGAACCATACGCCGGGGTTGTCGGCGCGGAAGCGCAGGACGACGTAGCCCTCGGGCGGGACGACGATGACATCGCGGCGCGGCGGGTAGGCCGGGTAGGCGGAGTGGTTGTTGGCGTCGAAGGGTTGGGGGATGCCGGCATCGGCAAATTCGAAGAAGTCTGGGCCGTAGGAGGGGTACCGGTCGATGACTTGGAAATTGTGGCCGTGCAGGTGGAAGGGGTGCGAGCCCGTGTCGTTGTTGTTCAGGATGATCTCGACCACCTCGTTGTGGTCCAGCACGTAGGTGTGTGTGTAGTCGCCGTAGACGGTGGGGTCAGTAGCCAGCTCGCCCGCCGACATCACCGTGTACAGCGTCGGGACCTTCGGGGCGGTGTAGCTGATCTCGTTCAGGAAGGCATAGCCCTCGCCGTTGTTAAGGTTGTCCATGACGATGGCCACGTTGATCGAGACACTCGGGTCCTCAAGTAGGGGCACGTGGTCGTAGGGCACGAGCGTGGCGTCGTCGAAGGGGTCGAGGTCCGACGACTCGGCCACCGTGATGGTGGCTTGCGGGTGCGTGGCGGAGGAGTCGTATTCCAGCCAATTGGTGTTGTTGAGCTGCAGGTCCGGCGTGATGGTGTCCAGCAGCGTGGAATCCACCACTGTGACGATGGCGTAGTTCTTGGTGGCCGTGTCCTTGGTGGTGAGCAGCACGCTGTACCGCTGGCCCACGGCAAGGTAGAGCATGTCCGCCTCCGTGGGCTCCGTGTAGACACCATCAATCTCCACGATCTTGAAGGTATGATCCTCGATGTAGAAGTACTGGGCAGTGAAGGCTGCGATATTTACCAGCCGCAGCAGGTACGTAGTGTTGGGTTTCACGGACAGGCTCAGGTCTTGGGTATCGTTGAAGAGCCAGGAGTTCGGGATGGGCTCGGCGCCGGTCGGATTGTACAGCGACATGAACTCGGGCTTGATGTCCTCGGCCAGCTCATGGTACCAGTCGCTCAGGGTCACCGTGAACTCCTCGTCGTACTCATCAGCAAAGTAGGAGTTGTTGTCGTGGATAATCAATGCTTGTCGGTAGCCATCGGGGTAGCAGTAATCGGTGTGGCAGTGGTACCAGTATGTCCCATTCTGGTTGACGGTGAAGTTGTAGGTGATGCTTGACCCGGGCGCGACAGGGCACTGGGTGACCATCGAGGGCCCGTCCATGTCATTGGTGCCATTTTGGTACATTCCGTGGAAGTGAATACTGGTGCTCTTGTCCCCGAGTCCGTTGTACATGTTCACAACGAGCTGATCGCCCTTATCGACCTCGATGACGGGCAAGGGCCATTGCCCGTTGATGCCCACCACCTTCCGGTCGGCCAGTCCATCGGGATTGGCTGTCACCCAGGTGACATTGAAGTCGTAGACAACTTCCTTGGCCAGCAGAGGCTTGCTGAACACCAGCAGCAGCAGGTAGCAAAGATAAGGCAGCATCCTCACTAAGGGAAGGGGAAGACTGTGGGAAAGAAGGGAGGATGGACGACAGACTCCTGGGAGAAGAGAGCAGCAAGACCTATGGTGGTTCCGGCGTACTTGCTTTATACAGAGGCGCACGCCGCGGGAATTTTCTTTTTTTCGCTTGGCGCGTCGACTAGTGGTAACAGGGATTGAGGGAACTGGGTGGGTGGTAAGTTTGTTTTCGATACGAACTGCCCACCCCCTCATCCAGACCATATCAGATGGTGGTGGGTCCTGGAATGATTGGCCAAGGGATGATAAGATTGGGTTCGGTGCTTAACGGGTCTTGGACAGTGGACCCCCCTGAACCGGAACAGGGTAAACCTTGCGAGGCAAAGGCGTCGAATGATCAGATAAGATGTCTCTCCGAAATTACGGTTGGGAACTAGGATGGGAAAATTTGCGCCGACCCTCGCCAGAAATTGCCGCCGGGAAAACGCAAGGGAGGGGCAACCGACAGGGTGTGTGCATTCCACGGAGCCGCTATATAGTCCCCGTCGGAGACCTTTGCCTTTGCATTCTCAGGGTTTCCAAAATCTAGACAGACTCCAGTTCTTCCTGTGCGATTCTTCTTCGCTCACAGTCGCCCACCATGGTCAATGTCTTTGCTGTCCAGGTCTTCTTCATCGTTTTCCGCGAGTGTCTCGAAGCGGTGATTATCGTTTCGGTGCTCCTTGCCTTCCTCAAGCAGAGTCTGGGCCAGCCACACCAGGACCAGGGGATTTACAAACGGCTGGTGCGGCAAGTATGGGCGGGCTCAATAACGGGCATAGTCTGCTGTCTTGTCATCGGTGGCGCGTTCATCGGTGTCTTCTACGGCTTGGGCCATGATATCTGGTCCAACGCCGAAGATCTCTGGGAAGGTATTTTCTACCTGATCGCGACCATCATCGTGACCGTCATGGGCCTGGCTCTGCTGCGCATCAACAAGACCAAAGAGCAGTGGCGCATCAAAATCGCCAAGGCGCTGGTTGAGAAGAGCAAGCACCACCGCAAGTCCAAGTGGCTCGGAGACTGGGCCCGTCGCTACGCCATGTTCCTCCTTCCGTTCATCACCACCATGCGTGAGGGTGTCGAGGCCGTCGTCTTTGTCGGAGGTGTCTCGCTCGGCTACCCGGCCACTGCTTTTCCTCTGCCCGTCGTCACCGGCATGCTGGCCGGGTTGACCTGTGGTTACCTCATTTACCGCGGTGGAAATGTCATGTCCATCCAGCTCTTCCTCATCGCTTCCACCTGCGTGCTGTACTTGATCGCGGCGGGTATGTTCTCCAAATCGATCTGGGATCTGCAGTACTACGAATACCAGAAAGGAGTGGGTTCCGATGTCGCCGAAGAGGGCAGCGGTGCGGGCTCGTACAACATCCTCCAGACGGTCTGGCACGTCAACTGCTGCAACGCGGAAACGGACAACGGATGGGACGTCTTCAACGCAATTCTCGGGTGGGAGAACACCGGCACGTACGGCTCGATTATCTCGTACAACGTCTACTGGATCTTCATCATGCTGTGCGTGGCCTACATGCTGTGGGAGGAGCGCTCGGGCAAGCGGTCCCTGCGCGAGCGCATTCTGATCGGGCTGGTCAAGGTGCCGGGCCTCAAGTGGTACGCCAAGCCCAAGCTTGCGGCCATGCAGGAGAATGGCGAGGATATTGTGCGCCAGGTGCACAGTGGGCTGTTCAATGAGGAAGCCGTGGTGGAGCAGCAGATGGTGGAGATGAAGTGAGCGGGGGTGTGCAAGGATCGGAGAGAGGAGGGAACAAAAAGTGACGATCAACTTCAACTGTCGGTTGCTTTGATTTGATCGATTGATTCTGTGTTTTGTTGTTTTTTTTTCTGCTGTCAGATGATTCATCATCTGTCAAATTGCGCTCGGCTACGTGCTTGTCATCAGATAATCTTAATTCAATGAGTCATACTCTGCAAGAACAGCTCTGATTCGTCCTAACACTCGAGCTATGTGTACGAGATACCTAAGCCACCCATAGGCTTCTTCTCTGCCGTTTGACAATTGCAGTCTTTACTTACAGCCAGCAGTTGTAGTGGGTCGCCAAGATGAGCTTCAGTGCGGATGTGGGGATTCTTGGCAGCTTTTTTTTTTCTCTCTTCTTTTCTCGCAAGCTCCTACCCTTTCCGCTCGGACGGGATTCGAATCTCCACCCACTTCATCTTCGGTAGTTCTCCCGAGCCCGAAATCGTGCTTTAAGTCAGGAGTCCTTGAGGTCTTGGGCATCAGAGAATTCTTTCGGCGGTATATCCCTGAACGGGTTTAACAGCCAAGACCTCAAGCATCGACCGCGAGGGACTGAGGATATGATTCTTTGGACCACCGCGCATGCCAAGGAATCCGCAACCTCCACGCGAAGACTAATTTCCGTAACTCGTGGTGTATATGAGTGAACAGGAGCCGTACTGGCCTGCGTAGAGATTTCTTCTACCCTGGCTAGGAATTAGCTCGGAGGGCCAGGACCTACCGGGCCATACTGCATACGCACGTACATCCACTATACCGTACCTCTTGGTTGTCGTTAGCCTGACTTCCTTGCCGAGTAACCTGACTTTCACCTTGTCGCCCGACCAAAACAAGTAATAGCCGAAGACGACGTCCTTTCAATTATCGGGCAATCTCCGCAGTATTACATTTGTAAGTATCGCAAGGATGCCGCCGGTTCTAGAAGCCTTATTTCAATTCCACGCAACATATCTAGATAGGTTCGAGCGCCGGAAGTTCGGGCATCGGAAGTTCGGCTGTCCGGAAGTGGTAATTTGTCGTGCTTCCCGTCCGTCTGATTGATACAACACTGATTATCAATCTTATAAATCGTGGCCATCTAATCTAACCATCTGATTTGGGCATGTTGATCCCTGAGCCCCTGTACCCAATGTCCGCGTGTGACTGTCAGAATCCTCCTGCCCACCGACGATCGCAACGAAAACCGA